AAATTGGGTCAATTGGTTTTGTTTCTGTCTAGTGTAGAGTCCAGAAGACCAGGATGCAGGTGTCTGTGTTCTAGACAGCTGCTGTTGCTAGTCTGAACTGTCCAGAAACAGTCCATTTTTGTTGCTGCTCACCTAAAAGCTGTTAATTTCCCTTTCTCCAGCAGTTACAAGCACATAGGGCGTAAAGTTAGTTGTGAAACTCCTCTTCTTGCTTAACGATACTGAGACGTTAATTGTGAATCCTAACAGAAAAGACAGATAAAAAGAAATAAACAAACAGAAAGCCACTTTCTTTTAGAGCACATCACAGAATCACAGAATCATTGAGGTTGGAAAAGACCTCTAAGATCACCTGGTTCAACCCTCAGCCCATCCCTACCATGCCCACTATTTGCTGATCTAAGGAAAAACTGGGGAAACTCCAAAAGAAGTGCAGAGGGTTGTTTTTATCTCAGAGTCCTCAGTACTTATTTGCTCAAGATGCAAATGCTCATGCTCTGAAGATGCTGATGATTAAAGGGGGGTATTTTTGAGATACAAAAGACGTTTGAGATATTGTTACAGATCAGTTGATACGTTTGCCTCCAAGTTTTGCAAGTCAAAATCCGCATGAATCCTTGCGGTGAGAATGCAGGTTCTGTATTGCGCTGCCAGCAATGGCCTTCATTTCACATTACAAAACCACACGCCTCTATTTCAGTACACTGCTGCCTCCGCCAGCATATGTCAGCTCAGCCTTACTGCTTGGCATTTAGGTGGTGTTCAGTGAATCCCAATGACACACAGTCAGCCTAAGCAGGAGGCATGTGGAGATAGCGTGGGCATAGCATACTGTGATATAAATAGTGCTGATGGTCATTTCCTTAATCTTGCAAGGGTTTGTACTGAATCTAAGAGAAGAACCAGCACTGCTTAGCACCTTTTGATTTCATCGTAGTCCAGAGTTGGCAGGACAGTTGTCACAGACATATTAAAAGCAGACAGGGAAAGTGTGCTAGAAGAAAGAAGGTATTCTGATGGTTTAATGATGACTTGCTCTAAGTGAGACCTTAAAGGCACGGATAGGTACTGTCTCCCACTGTACAGCAACGCAGGAGCTAAGGCATATGCTTTCTCATTTAAGGAAAATGTTAGGGTACAAGCTTCCCAGGGTTCTAACCACAGACCCATCTGATTGAGCATTGAAGGTTATGTTATCCATTTCAGGATCTCCTAGCCAACTTTGTGCCTGAACAGTAGTAGTGGTAGACAGGTGCTTTTCAGAAGGGCAGAGCGAAGGACTCCTCTGTTAGCAGCTGCTGTCTTTCATTAAGCCAAAACAGATGGGGAGGAGAGGTCTGAGCTAAAGAATTTTTGCCTTGTCATAGGAGTCTGTTCAGTTTCAAGCTGCGCCAAATTTCTTTGAGGTATTGAGTTTGTAAGAAGGGATTGTGCTTGTGGTGAAAGAAGAGGGAGAACAACATGAGGAGAGAAAGGACAACAATGGAAAAAAAGATATGTATATTGATGATTAGTCACTGGAGAACTATGCTTTAGTTGTGGAGTTCATTGTAACTGATTGCTGTCTTTGATTTTCTGAAATGGCAACACATTCTGAAATGCTTTCAGTTGGTTATCTGGCAGTAATATTAAAAAATAAGCATAAGTGCAAAGTGTGTAGAAAAATCTTTTTTGCAGATGTGTATTGTTCCTCTGTTGATTATTGATATACTTGGAAGTATAGTCTAAGTCTGAATGCTAAAAGGCAATGACCTCACTTACTCTTTTCTAGGAAAAATATTGAATATCCACCCATCCCTACTGCCCTCTTTTAAGGGAGCAAATGCCCACAAATTGGTGCTGGAAGCTGGAGTCCGAGTAACAGGCTGTACTGTGCACTTCGTGGCTGTAAGTATTTCCTTCCTCCACCCCTCATCACTGACAGGTCTTAAGATTTTCACCTTGGATCTTGTGTGGAAATCCCTTACAGTATCCTGCTTGACTGCCTTTTCTCCTTCATTCATTCATAACACTATTAGGCAACACAGTGCTTTAATTTGCTGTCCCTGGAAAAGGAACTGGAAATGAATAGTCTATACAGGAGTTAAAACTTTACCTTAGTTAACTTCTTCCTTAAGTATCTCACTGCTGCCAGTTCAGCTGTTGCAGAAGCTGTAATAGATTGTATTATGTCTTGACTAACCCTAAAATCTTTGTTAGAGAACAGTACTAACTTCTTATATTTTATCATACAGCCTTCCTTATTTGTTGCCTTCAAGAAGAAGAAAAATGAAAACAAAACAAAAACATTGGAAGCAGCACAAGAATTTTAGATTTGTTAAGAAGTAATCCTGTGTTTGTGGAAACAGAAAAACTTAATGTTAGAATCATAGAACGGTTCGGGCTGGTAGGAGCCTCAAAGGCCACACAGCCCCAACCCCTGCTGTGGGCAGGGCTGCCTCCCACCAGTTCAGGCTGCCCAGGGGCCCCATCCAACCTGGCCTTGAGCACCTCCAGTTCTCTGTGCTTGTCTCCATAGGAAAAGTGCTCCAGCCCTCTGATGAAAGTCAAAAACTGAGGATTCAAATGCCAGAGATCTCTCAGCATGGAAGATGTACTTTGTATCAGTTCTGGGAGATTTTTTCCATCTTGTTTGGTTATCAGAGTTGACAGTAACTCTTTTCCAGTCTTCAACTGCATACTTCAGATTATCAGCCTTTTTTCCACTGTTCCTGGTATCTGTTTTCATGACTTTGGCTCTCCCTTGGAAAACAAAACAGTTTTTCTCTCTTTTTCTAGTTAGAAGAATTGCATTCCTTTCTCCATAACGTGACAGCTTCTTCCCTGTGTGGCAATGAGAAGCCACAAACAAGCAGCCGAGCTCTGCCTTGTTAACATGCAAAAGAGAGATGTGCCAGTCCTATGGTCTAGCTCTATGCCAGAGATGGCTAATTCACTTTTCTGAATTGAAATGGCATCGCTAGGCCTAATATCCAGTCTGTCACGTCCTCAGTTAACACGGCTTTTGTTTTCTGGAGCAGACATGTCACTCACTTCTCCTTTTTCTTTGCAACCTACACTTCTGGCAGTTCCTCACAGGCCTGTGTGTCAGCATATTCTCTGTACTCCTCACCTTAGCCTCATTTCATGTTTCCTGCAATAAAGTAATGACAGACAAATCTCTGCAGCAGCTGGATTCCAGTAATGGTTCCACATCCATGCTCCTCTTCATCTTCCAACCGCACAACTGTCTGGTTATTGCTTTTACAGGAGGAGGTTGATGCTGGAGCAATCATTTTCCAAGAGGCAGTTCCAGTGAAGATTGGTGACACAGTGGAGACCCTGTCTGAGCGGGTGAAGGAGGCAGAGCATCGGGCTTTCCCTGCTGCCCTGCAGCTCGTTGCCAGCGGGGCTGTGCAGGTGGGCGAAGCCGGCAAGATCTGCTGGAAGTAGATCCTTGGATGTGGCAGCTGAAGTGCATCCATTGGTCAAAACGGAGGTCACAGTTGAAAAACGCACAGGCTGTATTCTGTTCACAAAGCGGCCCAGATTCTGGCCATATCCACTGACTTCAAATATTGAACCTGCTCTCAGTCAGACACCAAATAGAATTAAACTTCTGCTGACCATTTGCCTTCAGGGATTCCCCCATCGATCCATATGTGAATTCCTCTCAGAGATCTGTTCAGAGCCAAAAGAGCAGAGCCTGCTTTGGCCTGAACAGAAAGGGAATTAGGACTGGATACAAAATGCATTCTCTGCTTGTGAGACATTCTTTAAAACTTCTGTTGAAGTTAAGTGCCTGTATTCTGGGAATGATATTTTCATCTAAAATAATGCTGATGCAAACCCAGGGAATGTTGTAAGTGAAAACAGTAAAGTATTTTTCACAGTTGAATTATTGTGAAAATGCACTCAGTTTTCTTTTTTAATTTTTAGTATAGCTGTGAAAATGTTTTAATTTTTTTTTAATAGAAGTGTCATTTTTCTTCCATATAAACCAGAAGCATCTGCTTCCAGCTCCTTGTCTACGCTTTAGAACTACTCTCGGAGAAAACCAGTTTCTCTTCTGTGTCCTAATCTCAATTTGGATTTGAAATAAAAGTCTAATAATGTTAGTGATTTGAACGTATCAGTATTTTTCCTTGGAATTCCCTTCCAAGGGTATCAAATGAAGAAGGGATTTATGAAGCAGAATCTGTCTTCGTCTGCCATGCCACAACTGTAAATCAGTTTCAGAGGTTACAGACGTGCAAGGATTGAGGTGAAATTCCAGAGTGTGGTGACCTTACTGTTGCCATGGCCAGATGGGCTGTGATAAAGAAACTTGCTGACAAAATATTCCTGTTATCATTTGTCACTGAAGATAAAACTCAGGTGAATACAGAGGAAAATTACATGGTCAAATCTAATTTGGCCGCAGAAGACAATGAACAGAGGCTGAGGCTTCAGCACGGCATTTATCTGTACGAGTCTACCTTTCCACAGAAGGGTCATCCCACAGGCAAACGGGATTAAAAAATTGAAATCTGCCTGTTGCAGAGAGAAGGTAAAGGTGCAGGGAGCATCCTGCTCTGGTTGGGATCCAGTCTGCACAAACTCAGTGCATCAGCCATGACACAGCACAGCTTTTAAGATATCGTACTTAAATTCTAACTCTCGGTGGTGCTACTTGTTTTGCAAGGGGTGAAATCACTGCCACTAATTGCACAGACAACAGTTGTAACATTGGTAAAAGCAGTTTGATCAGTGCCAGGAAGGCCAAAAGCAGACAGTGTAGCAACCCCAAATTCAAAATCCCAATTCATCAGAGACATCTTGAGCAAGACTGAGGTATTCTGCTGTCTAAAACTGATGAGAAATTGGATTTAAGCACCTATCTGCATTTCTGCAAATCCATAAAATGAAAATCTGTTGTGAAGTGGACCTGAGTTACCAGATTAAAATACTACCAACCGCTCCCGGTCTCAGAGGGATGCCATGAACTCCACTGGAGAAAGCTGTTTGATATGATGGTGATAGTAGGGAGAACAACAGAGCACAATACCTTGCATTCTATAATCTTATAACCATTTATTTGTTTGGTTTGAAACATCATCCATCATGCTTACTATGCATTCCAAACAATACACAACATAAAGTAACTACAGGCCAACTACAGCAAAATAAGCAACATGTTTATCATAAATATTAACTATAAATATATATATACTATATATGTATATAAAGATTTGTTCATTTCTCCTCGTTACAGTTCTTCCTATTTCTCCTACATCGAGCTTCTTGCTCCTGCTGCTGAAGTGCAAAAGACAAATACAGATTACTGTACATAAATGCACAGCGTGCAGCAAGAAATGGAATTCCCCTTTCTCCTCCCTCCTCCTCCACTGAAACACCACTGAAATACACACTAATTAAATAAATGAATAAATAAATAGGAGTTTCTGAATGGAGCTGGCTCATGCTCTCAAACAGCCCGCCACAGCCAGCAGCAGTTACACAGCATGTCCCTTACTAGTACAGGATGCACAATTCCAGAACAACTACTTTTATTTTTTTCACTGCATCTAATGGCTGTCAGTGATCTCTCCCCAGGAAAGTCAGCTCTGGCTACACGGCAAGTCGGGCTGGGGATGTCCTGCTGATTTCATGGATGGAAGAAGAAAAAATGCCTGAAATCTGCTAACAATTTCTAATCTATTTTCCAGCCCACCAGATACAGAGGTTTTAACACCAAGTTCTGAGAACGTCTGTGTGCAGTGCCTTCCAGGAATAGGGCAAAGTGTTAAGATTTATGTTTGCTGTGTGCTATTACACTGCAATAAAATCCGTGAAGGGCGGTTTATTTCACTTTGTTTTGCCTTCTGAAGAGCTCCTGCCTTGCTGGTCATCGGCTCTTCTGTTTGGCAGCTCACTACACATCTGTTTGTTAAAAGGGCCTACAAAGAGATTTTCATTTCAAAAGTAATTTCCATGTTCGCTTTTGCCTACTTAAAGGCACAACACCAGATCAAAAGGACTGCAGCAGTAATTTTGAACTCCTGATGATGGACAAAGTTCACCATGTTGAAGGCTGAATTACTGAATGCTATGTGCTCTGCATTACCCTCCCACAAAGGCCCTGCTGGTGACAGTAATCCAGAATGAATATATGAATATAGATGATTTCCAGTGCAAACACTGAAAATATGACTGATGTCCAGTGTTGCTGCTTTATACTTGGCTCTTAGCTGCCTCCGATCCTCACCAGGGTCAGAGTGAAGGCATATCTGCAGTGGCAGCTGGAGGTGCTTGCCACTGACCACACTGAGTTTGCAGGAGAAACCCAGCTGGCAGTAGTGTGTGGTGGTGCCACGGCTTCAGGGAGCACAAGGCTTCAGCAGCTTCACAGAGGTCTGAGAGTTGTAGGCATGGCCTTGCCCCTACTGGATGGGACCAGCAGGGCATCTTCTCTCCTATATGGCCTCACAGACTCCTCTGTGGCTTGAAACACCATCACACACCCTCTTCCAGCAGAAAATGATCAGAGGACTGGAGCACTTCTCCTATGAAGAAAGGTTGAGAGAACTGGGCATGATAAACCTAGAGGAAGCCCCAGGGAGACCTGGCTGTGCCCTTCCAGTACTTGAAGGGAGCTTATATTCAGGAGGGAGACCAACTTTACTCAGTGATAGTGATAGGACAAGGGGGAATGACTCTAAATTAAAAGAGGGGAGATTTAGGTTAGATGTTAGGAGGAAATTTTTTACTGAGAGGGTGGTGAGGTGCTGGAACTGGTTGCCCAGAGAAGTTGTGGATGCCCCATCCCTGGATGCAGAACAAAGAAATTCAAGATCTGAAATGAGTTTGGCTCCCACAGCCAGTTTTGAAAGCTAAGTGTAACTAAATGTGCAAGCCCAGAAAAACTGATCATAGCTCAGAATGAAAGCCAGAAACATTAATACACCTGCAAAGAGAAGCACATGGCGAGAAGGAAGAAGGAAAGGAAAACCTGGCTACACCACATCATTTTCTTGTGGCTCTGGTATCACCAGAGAGGAAGTGAAGTCATTTTTCTCTTCTTGAAGACGCAGACTTTGCCTCTCTTGTTTCCAGCAGGTTTTACCATCAGCTCCTAGTTGCACTGCCCCACTGGCCACTAGATGCAGGGCGATGGGAAAAGCCCGGCACTCAGCTTCCTTAACCCTTTCTGACAGCATCTCCTCAGTGTCGTCTGCCTTCACAGATACCGGCTCCTGGTGGATTACTGCTTTTGGACAAGATTCCTCCTACAACAGAGATATTGGAAGAAGTCTTAGAAAAGGCTGGTTTGCATTGTCAGTGAGGTTATAGAAGATGTTCAAGGCCAGGTTGGATGGGGGCCTAGGCAGCCTGAGCTGGTAGGTGGCAGCCCTGCCCATGGCAGTAGGTTGGGGCTGGGTGGGCTTTAAGATCCCTTCCTACCCAAAACTTTCTGTGATTCTATGATGAAGACAGGACACAGAAAGTCTCACGAGATACCTCAAGTAAGCACAACCGCAGTTGTGTGCAAGAGGCTGTAAGTACGTAAGAGGGCCACCTCCATTAGGAATGTATATATCACATCTACTGAGTAGAGTGGGGATAGACATGGGCTAGAAGACTTGGAGGGCACCTTGCTGTGGTTAGGGGAAATTGGAAAAAAGTAATGTCTGTAATATGAAAGAAAAAGGCAGGACCTTGAGAAACCACAAATAAGCGAGTGAAAAGACAAAAACAAGGGAAGCAAAATGTGGTGAAGGAGCAGGGCCACAAAGAGTAAAGCTGTGCAAAGTAATTCCTGCAAACTTTGCGTTTTACTGGAAACAACCCTAAGACCCCTATACATTCTTACCACTTTTTCATTCTTCTGCCTTCATAAAGGGGAGGGGGAAAAAAAACCAAATTCCTTTTCATCACTGTTAGAAAAGAGGACACTCACCAGGACAAAATGCACAGCGCAGCCAGTGACTTTGAATCCAGTTGGGAGGGAGTGCTGATGCGCGTTTCCAGCCTTGACTGGTGGGAAAAGCGATGGGGAAGCATTCAGAATTTTCCCTAGAGATCAGGGTGAGCGGAGAAAAGAAAAATCAATCTGAGTGGAATTTCCTTTGAAAATAAAAGTGAGACGTGACCACCACTTCAAAACAGCATTCAGCACCTCAGGAGCTCAAAGAGCAGACAGCAGAGCAGTCAGGACATAGCGGGATATTTCCACGTTTAAAAGCAAAAAGAGGTTCTCCAGCACAGCTCCTGGGAAAACAAGATGGTTACACTACCTGCACAGAAAACAAAACTTCTGCTTGCTCCACAGGCATTTCTTCTTCCCAGCAAGAAGATATACAAACTCCGTGACATTGCTTTTTGTCCCTCTGTCAGTAATTGTGCCAGCACAGGACACTTCACTGCCAATGCATAGTCAGAGCTGATGGCTGGAATGAATGGAAGCATGTGGCAGCCCCACTGACTTACATTCCAATCCTCAGTGTCATCAAGGCTGAGGGAGATTTAACCAAAGATGAAGAACTGCGACTGTGTAATTCTGGTAAGCCCAAGCATCTCATTTTAATTTCTTTTTTACAGAGTTGTAATTTCTTACCTTTCCATTTCCTGAGAAAAGGACTGGACAATATTCTCATAAATCCTGAAAGACATATCAGTTCAACAGCAAATTCTTCAAGAACTCGGTCAATTGTGCTGTCAAATTCAGAGCGACTCCCATATAACTTGTGATCAATCACCTAAAACATTAAAACACATCAGCAAGCATACCAAAGAAGTAACTTCATGTGAATGAGAGTATTTTCTTGAGCAACAAACAAAAAATAAACATATTCATTCGAGGTCACTCGAAGACTTAATGAGGTATGAACTTGCACATTATTCTGGATACTTGTGATTTATACAAGCATTCCTGGAAACATCCCAATCGCTTGCTAGTTAACACAGGCTGCTTCTCACAGCATGCTGTAATATACATATAAAATCTGCATTAAGAAAAGCCAAGTGAAAAGAGCAAAATGGATAAGACAAAATTAAGGAGGACATCTCCAGAATGCCTGGCCAAAGACTGAAGTAAAATCAACATCACCATTAGTCAGTCTATAGCTGCATACTGAAATGTATTTATCAAGAAGACACCAAGCTGACCAGAAATTCCATGTAAGAAGAGGAGTGAAGTTTTAATTCTACTCAATCACTTATCTCCAGGTCCCCAAATACGTGTTGATTCCTGACTATACCTGGCTGTTCACAAAGACATTCAAATAAGGTCCTGACAGAGCTGTCATGCTCTTACCTAGGAAAATGTGAATGATTTTTGACACCATGTAGATTTTTTTCTCCTTTGTCTTGCCAGAGTCTTTATACTGCCAGAAAAAAAAAGTAATGTGGATCCAATTCAGCTGCTGAGGAAGTTGTTGAAAACTTTTTAATGGATGGATAGCCTCTAACAGCATTTAATGCCATCTGTGCATAGCTGTACAAATACGATAACTGCTCCAAATCATCAAACACTAGACAGAAGAATTCCTGGCGGGCTGCATTTGAAATCGCAAGTTGTTCAATGTTTTCAAAAGCTACTTTCTACACTATCACAAAATCATAGAGTCATGAAGGTTGGAAAAGACCTCTAAGATCCCCCAGTGCAACCACCAGCCCACCCCCCCACGCCCACTGCCCACGTCCCTCAGTGCCACATCCACACGGCTCCTGAACACCTCAGGGACGGTGACTGCACCACCTCCCTGGGCAGCCTGTGCCACTGCAGCACTGCTCTTGCTGAGCAGAAATTGTTCTTAACATCCAACCTGAACCTCACCTGGCACAATTTGAGGTCATTACCTCTCAGCCTCTCACTGTCACCTGGGAGAAGAAACTCCACAAAATATGATGACATGATGTTATTGTCTTTCTGCGTCTTTGTTTTATGAAACAAACCAGTGAAAATTTCCACAACACAGTACTACTTTACTGACCAAAAGCAGGAGATTCTTAGATAGTGCCACTGAAACTGACGGTGCACATGAGGCAAAGATCTTTCTAAGAAAGGATGAGCCAGTGAGACAACATGCTTGTATTTTTCACAGAGCCTGAAGTCTTGCTGATTCTGTTACAGCTGTAAGCTGCTTGGGCTACAGTTTTAGATCTAAATCATCAAAGCACTTGCAAGAGTAGAATGTAAGCACACTAATTTCTCTGAGATTAAAGCACACCTTCAAGTGCAGGCACATGCTTATTTTAAGTCTCTTTATAACCCAGACTGAAGTACCCATTGAAGAGACAAGAAACATGCTGACAGCCTCCACTGAGTGCTGTGTAAGGTCGACAGAACCTCCAGCTTTGTCCCTGCTGATGACTTCAATAGATTTGTGCTACACTCGCTTATCTACATAAAAGGTTGAAACTAATGTGAAACACTAATTTTTACCAAGCTTCACACTAAAGGCCTACAGATTCAATAGGTGTGAGGTGGTGGTATAGAGGAAAGGAAATAGGTGCCTTTACCCTGGTGGGAATTCCAGCACGGGCTGCATTTCGTAGTTCTTCCACACCAGACTTGCTGGAGATGACAAGGACAACTTGAGCACAGCTGCCTGGTTCTTTTGTGTAACTGATGAGAGCAGCAAGATTTGTGCCTCAAGTGGAAAGAGAGCAAACATTCATGAAACGGATAAGCATCTGTGTTACTGAGAAGGGACTCTCAGTTTTGTTTATCTAATAAAAATTCTAGTTGCAACAAATGCACAAATGGAAGAGGACAAAGCAATTTATGCACTAATAAATCTCATTTGTTAAGCAGTACAAAAAAACACATTATTGAATGCCAGTTAAAATTATAGCCTGTTTTCAGAAGACTCCATGGACTACCAAAAAAAGTTAAGGTAGATGCATTTATACCAGGGTTAAATTCACCTCCCTTTGTATGAACATTTCTCTGTGCGATGATAAACAAAATCTCACCTGTTCCAGAGACGAGAACAGCTACTTTAACTTTGTTCTTTCTGGGTTGTTGTTGACTCTCTACAACAGTGTTATTCAGCAGATGCTGGGGGCTGCTCAGCTGCAGAGCTTCAAGAAGATTCTCAACTTTGATGTGAGAACCTCCTCCAAATATGTGCGGAAAACATTAAAAATAAAACATTTTTGATCTTACTTTCCCTTCTAAAATTACTTCACATAGTTCACTAATCATAAATTTCAGTTAATAGAAAACCTATCAGCAATAAATTTATGCTGGCACCAACTGAACTACAAAAATGGATACTAATTAAATAAACAAATCGCACTGTTGTGCGTTCATTCTACCCATTGGGCTGCAAAGGGCTAGATATGGCATAGTACTTTCAAGGATTATCCCCATCTTTTACACTTCTCCTTTTCTCTCATGTTACAAAATGAAACTAACAATGGTGGTGACAGTGCTGACACTTTATTTTGACTGCCAAAACTGCTCCCCAAACTGTTCAGAAACCAGAAGAATTCCAGCCCATGTCTTGCTGTACATAATCACTGGATATATACCAGAATGAAGACTTATTATTGTCACCTGTGACTGTATACACATGTGACCTATCCTCTGTCTTTACATGGGATCCATGTGAGTTGGAAAAGGGTTGGAAAGGAAGTATGTTGATTACTGTAATTGTTCTAGAATATAACAGACTAAATAATGTTAAGAGTCCTTACAGACAGTCATCAGGTAAGAAACTGTTCAAGTAATGTCATTCAGCAAGCCTCCTCATGGTAATTAATAATGAAATGTAGATGTGAAAGCATCAAGTAGCCCTAAGCCTAGTGATATAACAAGAGAAAAATGTGAACTACAGACAATTTGCAACAGAACAGTTCCTACAGAACTAAGGACAATGGGTACCTTCCAGGAGATGCTCAGCACTTCACAGAATCACGCTACAGCAACTTATTCTGCATCAAGTTAGAAGTAAATAGTGTGCCCTTAAATGGAAACCCCTCTGAAGAAGGAGAGGTGAATGCAGTCCCACCATACTATTTGATTTTTGTGTCTTTATATCCCATTAGGACATCTGCTTACCTGTGTGACAAGGGGCAACAACTTTTCCAATCAGCCAAGCTTCCTCATGTCTCTGTACATCCCTGAGAACGTGCTGGGCCAACTCCTTCTGCACAACCAAGACTGCACCAATCCCACAATTAAATGTCTGGGCCATCTCCTTCTCAGAGAGGTTTCCTTCCTTATAGAGCCAGCAGAAGATCTCAGGCATCTTCCAGGTAAGGGCATCTGAAGAAAAGATAGGAAGAACATACTTGATCAGCATATGTGCACTACCCACCTGCAATTATATACAGTAATGTATATTACAAGAGCTGATACATGTGAATTCTTGGTATCTTAAGAATATTTCCTGAAGAGGACACTGATCCAACTTCCAGTCAACTTATGGGTGCTGCTTATGTAAGATGTTTCTAGATATAATTTGTGCAAGACAAGGCCTTTCGAGGCTTTCTGAGAACATATAGGAAATGGCAAATTGAAACATGCTCATCCTCAATGAGCCATAAGGATAAAGTTACAGATGACTTACGCCTCTTCTATGAGAGATAAAGGAGCCACATGACAAAACAACTTCTGACTTTTTTTGATTTGGTCCTGGTCATTTGGTCCTGGCCTGGTTTTAGGTCAGTACCATAGGAGGCAATGCAACAGATTACTTGAGCAGCTTCCTTTCTTCTCTTTGAAAGAAACAATGAGAAGGAATATAAATTTTGTCAAATAGAAAGAGCCATATTTGATATTTACCCAGGACAGCGCTGACATGTTCTGGCAGGATTCGGGAGATGCCTTCCAGCAACCCTTCCTCAGCAATAAAGACAAAAGACTTCACATGCCCTGAGCGAAGAACAGGCACCAAAGATGGACTGTACAGTTTTGCTGGAGTCAGCAATACATCTCCTGCAAACAAAAGTGCCAATTCAGAGAGTTTTTTAAAAAATGTATTAGGTGTTTTGATGGCAATGATTCTTTGAATGGCTTCTCCTTGATCTTTCTGGCAGACAGATTTGTAAAGTAGCAAACAGTGCTGCTCCACTCCTCCAAAACTAACAAAGCAAGACCTGCCTATTCCAAAGACTGACTAACACTAATAAACATGTTTTAATAAACAACCCTTGGCAGCCCCTAGTTATGAAAATGTCTATGCACGATCCATTTGGAGGCTTGCTTCAGAGAAGGAAGATATTTTACCTAGAGTCTTGTCACCACCACTGCCAGGCGCTGGAGAGGAGTAGTGCAGGGAGGACATTAAGAGTATCTTCCTTATGATGGAAAAGGCTCGGCCGTGAATCCCAGAAGAGGCCAGTCCAATAAGCACATCCTCCTCATCAGCTCTCTGCAGACCCAAAAGCATCTGTCCTCGCTCCACTGCACCAACCACAAAGCCAGCCAAGTCATACTCTCCAGAAGAATACATGCTAGTCACCTCAGCAATCTCCCTGCCTAAATGGGGGATAAAAAGCAGTCAGCACGAGCAGTCAGCACTGTTCACTTTAAATCCATAGCATCTCTTAAAATAGGTAACATATCCAGGACAGCTGTAGAGACATACAGCCCAAACAGCATATTCAGACACTTTAAAAGTTCATTGTTTCTTACCTCATAGCTTCAACAAAACAAAGCTTCATTAAGTCAATGAAAGAAGAAAGGTGTTTTTTTGCGTTTTGCACTACTTACCTGACACTTCTTTGCTAGGAGGAACATCAGAGCGGGAATGAAAACATTTGCACCTCAAGAGTGTAAAGCATGGGCAATTTTTTTCTTTGTACAAGAATAGATGAGACCCAAGATCCAAAAAGCAAAAATCATGCTTCCATGCTGACTTGTTTCATAAATCAAGAAGATTTTGTGCCCTTTTTTTCCCCCCGAAAGAGAAACCAAATGTTCTAATGCTATATAATAGAGCTGCCTATAAACTCTATTCACTAATCATCATTTTAACATCAGAATCTTCAAATACCAAAGAAGAGGTATGTTCATACCTAGGAAAGCACATCCTGCATTTCTGCATGCGTCAGCTATTCCTTCTTTGATTGCTTCAGTCACTTTGACATCAAGTTTGCCACAGGAAAAATAGGTAAGAAAGAAGAGGGGCTCTGCCCCTTGAGCCAGGATGTCATTAACACACAAGGCAACCAGGTCCTGTCCTATGGTGTCGTGTCTCTTACACGCTTGTGCGATCTGCAAAACATGGTAGGAACCAGCAGTGCTGACGGGAGATACAGAAAACTCAAATGGTAATCAAATAAGCAGAAATCTTCATTTCCTTGATAAACATCACAACAGAAGATACAGGTGGAAGATATCTAGTAGATAATCTAGTTTAAATTAAGAGAAATCAGATAATTTTCTTCAAGAGAAAATAAATATATATTTTAAAAGCATTCTTTCAAATTCTAACTGCTGCTACTCATAAATTGTTATTTGGGGTTGTTTGTTTGTTTATTTTGGAATACTATGTCAAATAGGGCATAAGAGGTACCTTAAGTCAATTACGAATTCTTGGGACATCCAACCTACAGAACACCTTAGCAATTTCCATAAATAATACTAGGTTGCTTAAACATTACTGTCTGTTCTGCAATGCCCACTGATTTCCCTGGGCTACACAGCAAAATGGAAGCAATTTCGTTAAACAGTGTTTCGTTCATCTGCAAGTTGACAAGGAATGAGTTTCTCCACTCCCACCATCCACAAGGAGTCTTTTGGTCCAGCTACCTCATTACATGGAGAACACAGGCCTGGTTTATAACTTCCTTGATAAGCAGCTCTTCTATAGAGTAAAATGTTATCAAACCTCAAGAAGGCTTCTATTGAATTTAAAAAATATATAAATCCTTTTTTCACCCAGTGGCCTGACAGAAGTAATCGTGCTACCTCTGCATATAATTTATAAAACTCAGACTGACAGTAATAATTTCAGCACTTTTCTGTACCAGTTTCTCTCTGAACTGATCCTTCTCAAAGCCAGAGGATTTCCAAGCAGAAATTCTAATTCTTAGTTCCTCAAGTGCATGACTAAACGTTTTATTATCATCACAAAATATCCCAAATCTCCACATTCTCAATGGCACATGTGCACACTTGGCTCAAGTGATCATCTATAAAGCTCAATTGACTACTGCAGTGGATTTGGGGTGTATTTGTAATGCTCAGAAGGGTGCAACTGGCTGTGGCACTCAAAACAGTCTTGGGAGATAACATGAGTTTTGCTACAGTCAAGTTGCAGATTACCTGAAGTTTAGGTCCAAGGCCTTTAGTTTGAGATACCAGGATAGGATCATCATAACCAGATGCTTTTAAATCAAAGAAACCAGCAAAGCCTCTTACTTCTGAATGACTGCCTGCCAAATACAAATGTGTAAAGGATTGTTTTTAAGGGAAATAAAAAGACCTAAAGCATGCACCAAGCAAGTACTGCAGATTATGATTTCTTGGACAAGACAAAACAGGCAAATCATAGGTAGCTTTATGAAGCTTGGACCCTAAAGTCATATATTTCATGGTGCTGTTTAATTTTAACAGCTCTTTTTCTTTTTTTTTTCCTTCTCTTTTTCTAAGGGCTAAAAAAAAAAGAAGAAATTTTCCTCAACAGATCACTACTGAGAATAAAGAGGCAAACAGCATTCTGAAGGGCAAACAACAAGTTCAGTAACTGTCTGCCACATCCTAAAAATTGTTTGGGTTTTGTGCTCATACATACAGCTGGTAGGATGACTTCTATCCAAAATCATTCAATGAATCCAAGAGTTATTCTGTTCACTAAGCTACCCTTGAAGAAGTGCAATCATTCTCATGATAAGCCAACTATCTTTTAAGTAAGACATAAGGAGGAATGAGAAAGAAATGAGTTTTCATTTTTCATGGTGACACCAGCCCAATATCTCAAACTCAGTTTCAGTGCCAAGAGACTGTCTACTCAACTCTTGGGGAAAAAAAAGTTCTGGTCTCATTTGCTATACTGAGGAAATTCAAATATTCTTTTTCCTAATCTTACCTGATCTGGTACGACTTACAATTGATCTTTTCAGCTGGTAAAACAAAACATCACTGGTTACAGCTTCCACACATCTCTCTTTGTATATCAAACCCCTGCAGGGAAGAAAAGGACATGCTAGCAGCAATAGCTACGTTTTCTGCATAGATCATCATCGTTCATTGTACAAAGGGTAACAACAGATATAACTTTGGGCTAGCATCAACTTCTACTAGTGCCTTTGCTTACATACAGAGTCTGTTTGAGAAGTCCAATGCCCCGATGGCCAATGTCCCTCCTGTATGTGGCACCCTTGAAACATATGGCTGCTACTCCCCTGTTGGCTTCTCCCAGTGCTGTCATCAGATCCTCCTTAACAGCAGTAACGGAGAGGACTCTGCCACCACTCGTAACCACTCTGCCATCCTTCACTGTTGTGCCAGCGTGGAACACCTGCAGCCCTGACTCTTTGGCTGGAAGCAGCCCTACAAAAGCAAAAGGAACACTGAGTATTTTAAATCAGATACTACGTTGGTAAAGCAGTGGAGATTGAAGTCCTTTCTTCAGGCAAGGGAGAACAACAACAAGGCTTCCCACTTTACCTTTCTTATGAGAAACAGCATCACCAGTGATGGGCATCACTCTCCATTGGCCCAAAGATTCCCTTTTCAGAGAGCTGGTAAGGACACAGATCACACAGGAACAACAAAAGGGGATCTAGATACCACTGCAGGACATACAGCTACGCTGTGCCAGGGAAAAGCTGTACTGTAACTGGGAAAAATTTCTGCACGGTTTTCCAGATGAAACCATTCCACAATTCATAGCAATTTATTACTTGGACTCCCCCTGATATTAAATTACTAATGTTAATGGCACTGCCCCATCCACACTGTTATGACCACTTCACACAATACCCTGCCACATTTGCAATCCATGCTTTATATATATCTGCAGGTTTGCATTTTGTTATTTTGTTTCTGTGTATTTTCCTGCTAGAGGCTTTTTTGGAAGATAGTATTTTGAGGAGAGAATAAGGGAAGAGGAGGAACTGCTGCCATCACCTGGAGAAAGCAAAGCAAAACACACTTTTCCTTTTGCCTAGAGGGATTTTATAAGTGAGTAAAAGTAACCTTTAAACTTGCTGGAATTCTGTTGCACCACCACAGCGCTGTGGGGCAAGCTGAGCCCAAGCTGGCTTTGCCACAATGGAAACCTAGTGCCCTGTCCTTGTGTCCTAAGGAATAAAGTGTTTGTTAAGCTATTAAAATGCAAGATTCAATGTGAGTTCCAGAGCCTGACTACTGAAAGAAAACTCACCTAGCAGGGGGATTTGTTCAGTTATATGGTTTGCATTTTCACACTTACAGAAATGCAGAGTTTTCCAGAACATTGTTCATAAAACAAAGTTAATGTAATGGCTGAACTGGAATGGGAGGGTGAGCAATGACAACATGGCAGCAGAAATCTTGAAAAGAGAAAACACAACACGACGTCCTGCGTGGCTGATGTAGGATAACAGGAGTTCTGAAAAAGAAATGTCCTTGATACAAGATCAGCTCTCTGTGTTGGCCTGGCAAAGTAGAAGCAAAGGGGGAAGGAAATAGTTCTGCAACAGTTCCCTCTGTTTTCTTTTTCTTTTTTTTTTTTTTTTTTCATTAAAAAAAAAAATAATCTTAAGGTAACATTGAAACATGATTAAGTTAACAAAGAAAATGTGTATTGATCTAAAAGCCCACATGCCCACCTTTCCAAAAACCCTACAACCTCCATGAAAAAGAGGGGCTTTTATGTGTTACACAGCAATGACCCAGACTGGCTGGCACAAAGCAAGGAAACAAATTAACAGTGGAGGAATGAACCACTCCTGTTGTAAAGGTCCTCAGATCTCCACACTTACCTAACATAATGCGACTCTGGCAAAAGCAAAAGGTAGCACAAAGCAGTCATGACCAGATAATGCTGTGGTCCCCATTTCCAGCGCAGTTTGTGGAAATACTCCATGTGGATGCACCAGAGTTTTTCCAGGAGGTTATAGCACTCTATCACCTTATCTCAACCAGTTACAGACTTCAAAGAAAGGTACACTGTTAAACATTTAGGCCCTATGCCACTTTGGACAGGCAAGCTTTCCAGATAAACAATCCTACTGATCAGTTATTTCTTCTACATGGACAAGCAGTGACAGATGAAGGTAGATTCTGAAGAGATGAGGAGTGGGATGGAGGAAAGCAGGACAACATTCTGCGAGAAGAGGTAAATGCAAGCCTTCCCAAGTACCAGGCTAGACAAAATAGTAAACAATCTGCTAAGTTACCTGTTACTTCCATGCCTTTGTCATAGTCTCCTGGGTATCCCAGACTTGCCATGACCACACACACAGCTGTACTGTTTTCTGACCAGGCTGGCATGAAGCTGCAGAGTTTGCCATCAATTGCTGCTTGAATCACTTCATAAAAATCATTTTTAAGCAGTGGAAGAATTACCTGCATAAAATTTTCGTAGTGATAGAAGTTAATTCTTCTTTTGCTGACTTACTGAAAATGAATGTAGGGAAAATTCAAGTAACTGAGTAAAATCTGTACCTGCCAAACTGAAAATAGTGTATTTCCTTGTATCTGTAGAATGGAAAGCAGTAATGAACACTAATTTGCAGCAGCTTTTTGCAACAGCAGAAATTCATAACAAGAGATTATGAAGAGCCATGAATTCATGCCCCTCCTAGTATGTTTATATCCAGAAGAATAAAATGGAAGGAGGAGCTCTTTAACATAAATTCTTTAACTAATAATTCACAGAAGCTTACCAGCTAAAATTTTAAGTTACTTCATGCACTGTCTAAGACAATTCTCATTCAGATCTGGACATTGAGGGGAAGAAAGACAGAAATCCAGATATACTGTGCAAATTTCCCAAGGCGTGTGATGTAACAGTCAGAGTTAAAGAAGGAAGCACATGTAAGTTCTCAGTGTCTGTCACTCACCTGGCACTGGGGGTCACCAAACTGACATTTAAAGTTTAAAATTTTCACACCATCTTTGGTAAGCATTAACCCCATCTGCAGCACACCTGAGAAGAAAGAACACAATCAGGCAAATGAATTTAGATGTTTGTTTTTCAACAACTTTTTAAAATGCAGCCTGAAACTCTGGAATGAGGGAAGCATTTCTGTGAACTGTAAGAAATTAGAAGCAGGGATTCAGCAAGCAGTTGTACACAAGTTGTAATAGTTCTACAGTAACCACTGAAGTGGCTTGCAGCAACATGACAAATATTGCATCTCGTTTTAGACTGAATACAATGGAAAGCAACCTTCTGCTACAGCCCTCTAATTGTAGGTATCCAAAGATCCAATGGAATAGATAGGATGAAAAAGGAAAAAACAACAGAAACTCCACAATGAAAGAATTTCCATAAAACACTGTGATGCAGATCTTGCAATTTTCTTGAGTGTAGTACTGTTATCCATAAATATAAATGTTACTCTGCATTTCAGGCAAAATAAATAAACCAAAACTTGTGACCATTACTAATAGACAGAAACAAACATTTTCTGAAGTTGGTATTCTGTTATTTCCACTGCTACACACATGTGCATACAGCAGTCTGGAGTGGGCCTTTCATTGTGTCATGCCCAGAGAGTAACAAGTGTTAAATATTAATCCCCACAAAGCATCAGGTCCTCCAGCATCATCCTGAAAATGCTCAACACACATTCATTTCTTACCACAGCACTGTAAAATCTTACTGAGCATGATAAAAAAAAGATACCAAATAGCTGAGAACACACTGCATCTCTCAAGAGTAGAAAAAAGTTATTTTCTTGTATGTAATCTTGGCTGTTGTTACCTAGAGCAGCTGTTGGCCTACAGTGACAGCAGTGAGCATCCCCTTTCCTTTTCCAAAAGTTCTCAAGACAAAGATCTTAAGAAAACTTAAATTGCTATACACAGAAGTGAACAGTATGACTGATTATAACTCAATTTACAAAGAATCTGCTTGCAACTGTTATGAAATGTTCTGATTTCATAAAAATAGGGTATGTGCTATAGTCCAACATTATTCAGATTGAGTATTTTCAACCTAGTGAAGTTGAAATGTTACAGTTGTAAAAATCAGATGCAACGGCCCACATAGTTCAGAAGTTTCCCACATTCTGGCTGAAGTTTTTGTTTTTTATAACTAATAAGAAATGCATCTGTTAGCCTGTACTGCACAAAATAAACCAATAAATACAAAATAAAAAATGAGGCACAATACATCTCCTGAAATGCCATCTGAAGAGGAAAGTTCTCTCCAAAGGAAGAGCTATAAACCAAATCAGTAAGGCTTAATACTCCACGAAAAGTGAACCTTTTTTACTGTTTGTTTGTTTTTCTTTGATAAAGATCATTTAAAATTCAAAAGCAATCCCAAACAATGAAATTAATCTTGATAGAACTTTACCTTCATTTTCAGTTGAATGCATACTTACCTACGTATGCTGCTCCTTCTTGTCTCAGACTATCAATCACATGTTGAAGGATAGCATCATTGATTTTCTCTAGAACTTCTGGTACCTGATGATCAACATCAAACAGTAATGACATTTGCTGAACTGACTCTTGGTCCTGAAAGGACTGGGGTAAGTGAATGCCTCAACTGCCACTCCCACCTAGTAATGCTCCTCACATTACGGTGTTACTGCCCTGAAGGACAGATATACTGATGCTCTATCTCTCACAATTTTTTCTGTCTCCTTCTTTCTTTACAGAGCCAACTTTAAGGAGGTTTGAGACACTGAAAACCTAGGCTATACACAGTAAGATTGTTTCTGTACTTGTAAAAAACACACCAATAACGTACTTGAGCAGCATACACTATTAACAATAAATGCAAGATTATGTTCAAGACAAAGACTTCAGGCACGTGGAAATTTTGCTGGAACATTTCAAATGATGTTAATAGGAGCAAAACAAGACAAAGCTTAGAAGTAATCATAAAATCATAGAATCACAAGGTTGGAAACGACTTATAAGATCATCTAATCCAACCATCTTCTCAATACCATTGCTACCACAAACTAAACCATATCTCGTAGCTCCTCATCCAGGTGCTTCCTGTAAAAGGTAAATACCAAGTTTGGAAAGAAGGAAAAGATAAACTCCAAGTTTATAGAGAAGGAAAACACTGAGTTTAGGAATAATGGGAAAGACAAAAGAGACTATTCTTCAGAGCACAGGCGAAAGAAATCCTACAGATGGACTGATAAAGCTTGAGCCCTGTGTTGCTCTTACACAAGCACAGTATCAATCAACTCCACAAGAAATTCAGCCTATGTGACAGTAACAAGGTTGAGCCTTAAAGATGCATTAACCAGAGGTGTGATCAGCTTTACTGCAGGCTAAAGAAGACTGTTGTACCTGAGGAACCGGGCAATAGGCTCCCATTCCTTCAGTATTTGGACCCTGGTCACCATCCAACAACCGTTTGTGGGCCTGGGCTAGGGGCATTGAGGCAACAGTGACACCATCCGTGAAACACAGGCACTGTTAAGAGAGGCACAAGACACAGGAACAGTGACAACATCCTGTGCCATGGGAAGTTAACACTACTGGTCACAGGCTGAAGTTAATTTAGGAATCTGTCAGGAAAAGTCAGGAATCCAAGCTAAAAAGTCATGGGATCCATTCATTGCGCTGCAAGGCTGATGACACAAAGAATTCAATGAACTTTCTTATTTTTAAATGATGAAGATAAATGATGGCTCTCATGACTTTCTGATGAACCAGATCTTGAACTATCCATGAATAACTGGATATGTGCTTACTGTAAGGCTTAATGGAATTACTTGTATGTTCGAAGTTTAACATCTTTGCTTGCAAATCCAAGGCCTCAATGAGTGTGAGGTATTCTCAATGCAAAACAAACTTTTCACAAATATTTTTTTTTCAGTTGTCACATAGCAGATAACACACATATTATTAAGTTTTATCTTGCCATTGAATAATAATAACCCACAGTAGAAGATGTGCTAAAATGGGCACTAAGTGTTAGCACAAAATTAATGATGTAACAAGAATTACCAAGACAAGGTCTATATAAAAATGTTTTAGGTGACCATAGGGGAAAAAAAAGATAAATTTCCACATAAAAAGATCACCATAATTGCACCATAATGTAGGAAAAATTCTGCTGACATAATTGGCTAGTATGATATCAAATTGCTTAGCTTGTGTATTTATTTATTTGTCAAATAAAACAAACATACAAAACTATTTGAAACAATAAATGTGTGGTTATGCACAAAACATAGCAATAAAGCCAAGGAATAAAAGCACATAACTATGAAATTGATCACATACAGAAAGTTCTTCCCCTTGAAGAAGTTCTTCAATGACAACGATCTCTCCAAACATTCTGTCCTGCACACACAAAAAAGTCATCAGTCAATAAACATAGCATCTAATGACTAAGTCTTCTATTTATTTTCTTTCATCGGAAAAGACAATGGATATGGAAAGCTGCAGCTTGTCTGAATCCTGGGATGCTGGGCAAAACTTCTAGAATCTCATTCAGAGATAAGGAAGAGACACTGTCAGGCACCAGGAGCAAAAGGGAAATGGAAAAGCTGGAGGTTTGGTAACGTGGGACCTAGTGCTGGAATGAGAGTTCAGCCACAAACTCCACAGAGCCCTGCTGAGTGCCCACCATCTGTGAGCCAACCTAAGAGAAATTCCCCAGTACCCACAAGGATGAGGAACAAGGAGAAAGTCCCACAGTGATCAAATACATCAGACATGCAGATTGAAGCACCAAACCTAACGAATACATGCAGCTAGGTAGCAGCAGTGCTAATTTCCAGCCTTAATGTGCAAGCTGATAGATGCAATTTTGGGGTTCCTCTTGTTCTTAGTCAAGGACATGAACTGCATTCCCACTATTTAATTAAGGACTTCACCACCTGCATAATCTCTTGGACAGCTTTGCAGGCTTCCTCTTTGCTGGCTGCAATAGTCACTTCCTTTCTAGCTGCAGGGCCCCTTGCCCGTACCACTCGAGCAGGAAAGTCTGTGCTTTAAAAGGAAAGCAAAAGATTCAGGCATCTCTACTGCATCCCATGAAAGGTACATTTTTAAGCTGAATGCTTCCCATGTTCTTCCCTTTTTATAAATGTTTAAGGAATAACACATCAAAAAAATGCATTCCAGTAGCCAGTCTATCCTATCATGGAGGTGAACAGGCTTTTGCAGTCATTGATATAGGACTGTGAATTGGAAACCCGTGAATTCTGTTATTGGATCTGATACCACCTCACTGTATACACTTGGACATGTCAATTAATACTGTGTGCAGTGTCTTCCTCTTTTCCCTGATTTGGGTTACTATTTTGTTTGTGTCGCAGGGTTGTAAAGATGAATTCATTGGTGATCTGTAGGCTTATAACACTTGAATGTACTACAGAAACCTATTAACCACCATGGAAATTCTGACCAGGGTTGTAAGGTTAAGGTTGACTTATGTCTTACGTATCAAGGCTATGCTAGAACTAGGGTATTAACACTGTATCCCCAGAATTGTTCTGCTTACTTTTGAACACAAACAAAATCTGGAAAGAGAAAAAAAATTAAAAATAAACAGAACGAAAAGACAGCGCAGCTTATTTTAACCACAGCTTTATCCATTCACTTCTCTCCAGTTTGTGGTCAAATGGAATGGCCCTTTGAAAGAGCTGATTCATCACACTAGTACACTTCCTGAAACACCTCACTCCTCTTTTTCATGTTATAATTTATACTAGGATAAACCACAACTCTAGATTTGTACAAGCAGCCAAAGTAGGCTCACACAGAGCTCCTTTCCTCTGCGGCTTAATAAACAGAACTGTGATACTGTTTGGCTTTTGAAGCCGTAGGCACAGTTACAGACATAGAAGTTGGCTTGTTTCTCTACATGGCCATGATATATACAGTGCTGTCACAGGACAAGCCTGGACAAAGCCCATAAAAATGTAGTTGGTTTTTTTGGGGGGGGAGGAAAAAAAAAAAAAAAGTTCTGCCAGAATATACCACATGAACTATGTGACAGCAATGACAAAGAGTCTGTGACACCTGCACAGTCCAATGTAGCTGAATACAGCCACTGCTGTGACCCAGGAACACAGCAAAAAGTTATTCTCCCATATGATCCCCCATGACTTCTGAGGTATTACTGATCAAAGCAATTGCAGAGATCTGCAGTCACTTCTCTCTCACATGTAGAGAGAGATACTGTGCAGCTGACAAATGAAGATTCTTTAAATTACCAGTATTTAGCCAGTTCCTCCCAAATCACACTATAGAGATGCTGCTGTTATCTGTCTGCGTAGAAATGATTTTTATCCCTTCTTACCCTTACACAAAAATTTACTGCAGTCTTTTTCTCTGCCACATTTTTTCTTCTAAATGGCTAACTAGCACCATCCTGATGAGGATGATTAAAGGGAAGAGGACCAGAAAACACAAAAATCAACAGAAAAACAGAAAAATCAATCTGTTTAAGTGCCCAGCTCCTTCACCATCTGTCTCTGGTTATAAAATTGGTTCAACAATACTCAGAAACCACTTAAAAAGATGAACATTTGAAAACAAAACACTAACTCACCAGTTCTAGGTAACTATTATGGGCAAAGGCCAAGTACATAAATAACCCAATAAAGAAGGTGTTTCCTGTATCAAAGCATTTACCTGATAATAAACCTACAGGCTTCCTGGGGATTGGTAAAAGCTTTCCATCTTGCTGTTGGGATCCCATGTCGATCCAGAAAAGCTTTGGCAAAACTGGTGTTGGATGCTAGCTGAGCTGCTTTTGCTGACGGTCCAAAACATCTTACTCCAGCTGCTTGTAAGTCATCAACAATACCTAGTTATCAAAAATAGCAGAGGAATCAAGTCATCTCTCTAGAAACATTCTGACAAAATGAAAGCCACGTAGCCATTCCAGCATTCTGCTAACACTTCTCATTGTTTCAAACAACTAATCCATCCTTAAAACAAGGTTCTGAATATCCAATAATCTTGCTTCCTATTACTCAGAAGTGTCACAGTTACCAACTCGTGGCTATATGACTGTTGGATACTTCTGCTCACTGTTTATGACACAGAGATCTTAAATATCACATTACAATAAATGTCAGCAATGGTTTTGGTACTGCTACATAAAGCAGCAATGTTGGGACTATTGCAAGAAAATCTTTATAGCAAAAAACACGGCAGAAGACACCAGAATACCTGTAACCATCACTGACTTGTAGTCCTGCATGATTTCCCCAGTCAATTTGTAACACACAAAAAGCAGCATACAGCTATTGAGCCAAAAATTTCAGGTGGCTGCAACTCGCATCTACAAGATGCTCCAAATTTTCTTGCACTTTAGTTTAATCCAGTCAGTGTGTGCCTTCAAATCCCAAAGAGATCATTTTAAAGCAAGATTCAAGGTGCTGATTTTTACTGTCAAGATAATTTACTCCAGCCTTACCAGCTGCCAAAAGAGTTTCTTGTCCAACTACTACAAGTCCAATGTTATGATCTTTGCAGAACTGGGTAACAATAGTGTGATTGCTCACTAAAACAGCTGAAAAGGAAAAGGATATATAAGAAAATACTGCTACAAAGCCTAAATAAGAAAGGGAAGATAGGAGATTCAGTGTTCAATCTCCCTTAAAAGTATGATTTAAAAACTGAGTTAGCAGCCCATGAAGGGCAAAATGAAACATAATACAATAATAACAGAGTTATTAAAACACTTCCAGTTTACACTGCTTTCTTTATTATACATTTACTATCTTATTACCTGCCTTCCATTTCATATATATAATCAGTACAAACTTTTTGAAGTTACTAATCATAGCAGACTAAAAATTTTAAAAATGAAACCTTAAGTTCATAAGAAAACTCAGGCTTAAGATCTGAGCTAAGATTTAATCAGTGTTAGTGAATGAGTTAACTACATTTAGCTGAGCAGCCTAGGCAGACACTGAAGTATTTGCCAACAAGAAGATTGTATCTTTGAGCCTTCTCTTCCACTATTAAACTGGAATGAAGTTTGTCAAGCATAGCAAACAATAGGAGGAAAGAGATGAGGTATAGAAATACACAGTCTCATATAATCCTCACTATCTTAAGAAGTTAGGATAAAAATAGATACAATATGATGCTTTATTAGGCAGTTCTAATATACAGAAACAAAACATACTGGAAAAAAGGCATGACTTAAATAACTTGTAGTGCCACTAACAGAAAAGAACCATTGTATTCTACTAACTGAATACAAATGTGGTCAGTTCCGTTTCAATTCCCACATCCATACTACGAACTGCTTGCCACAGTATTTGACTTTTCCCCCTCTTTTTACCTGAATTTGAAATCTTTCCACTGTTGGCTGTCCCTGCGTTTCCAGGAGCAACAAACACTTGTTTTACATGTGGGGACTGGGCCAGCTTCCAGGCCAATGCATGCTCTCTGCCTCCACTGCCGATCACAAGCACTCGATCAGCCATTAGCCTGTGCAAACCCAGAGTCATTATGTTGATTACTATCTAGTTATTCCAGAAACTCAAGTAAAAATAAGCAAAAAAAAATTATGTTACATCCCTTAAATAATAGCAATCCAGTTCTTATCAGAAAGATATCTACAAGACATTGCAATTATAGAATCATAGACTCGTGGAACCATAGAATCACAGAATGGCTTTGTTTGGAAGGGACCTCAGAAATAATCTAGTTCCAAACCTTTGCCATGGGCAGGATTGCCAACCATTAGTTCAGGCACTAAATCAGGCTATCCAGGACCCTATCCAACCTGGCCTTGGAACAGAGAGCCCAGGACTACATCAGTAGTGACAGTGGATAGTTGCATCATTTGCACTCTGATTTAAACACGGTGAAATCACAGAGAATTCTTCCACTTGTTTCAGCACTGTCAACATTTCCTCTCTTGAGCAGTCAGGCTGAAATAATCTAACATCTAGGTCTCACCAAATCCTTCACACAACTGAAGAAGACAGGACAGGAAGCTTCGTACAAATGCTCCATGTAATTTAGCGGGTATCTCAAACTGAACACTGTGGTCAACCTGGGAACTTCCCATGAGTGTAAACACCTTCAATAATAAATAGCAAAGACAGTTTTCAGACAGGTTTAATACTTCGACAACTGCTAGGAGGGTAACTTGAGCAGAATAGCATGCTCAATAAAAGAATAACTGTTAATTTCACTACCAGACTGACATTTACAACAGTTCCTCGATAATATTTCTAGGCAAATTAGTTTTGATCTATTTCAGAAATATTATCATACCAACATCTGCAAATTTAATTTTTCCATATGTGCTGGATGTGGACAAATGTCAGAAAGAAAAATAATCTCAGAACATGACCTTTAAGGAAGACGCTATTGGCATAAAGCAGTCCTTACCCAGGAAATGCATAATAAATTAAAGTTACCATAAAACAACTGCTTTGTAGGCAACGTTGTCAGCCTTTTCAAAAGAAATCATGACTGTTGGTCTGAGTTCATTACGCAGCTTCCAAAGGTTAACAAAAGTTAAATATGTGACACCAAGTTCTTACTGTTATATAACAATAATCACGTTCCTAATTCCTGAGACAGCATTAAGATGTCTTCACCTAATATCAACAAATAAAATTTAACTATATGTTTTCATAGTTATTAAATTGTCCAAGTGTAATATAAGTACTTCAGGTGCCTTGTCCTGCTGTAAATTATCTAAGTGAGATCTTAAATTTTAAGTACTGTACTTCATGCACATAAACAGGGAGAGTGTGCTTAATGCTCTATCAATCACCAGACCCATTTCCTGGCAAAAGAATTTTCTTTCCTTTTCCTTCATACTGTGTAAGTGTCCAGTATGTTAGCCTTTGTCTTTTCTTTTTTCACTGCTTGACAAATACTTCTGAAATCACAAGGAAGGTGCTGTAAGCTTAAAAGTAAGGAGTAAGAACTGCTGTATCTATAGCAAAGATGCACTCTACAAAGCTTCAGTGGTAATTAATAAAAAGTCAAGTGTCTTTAAAAGCCAAGCAGTTTTTCACTTAATCATCATTTCACAATTCACCAAAGTTTCAGAAGGCAGAATAAATTCACATTGCTAACTGGGAACAGAGTGAGACCAAGCAATACCTCCTATTCTGTGGGGAAAAAAAGAAGAAGAAAAAAAAACATTTCCATTTTACATCACAGTGAGGACACCAAAAAGACCCTTTTTTTTTTTTTTTTTTTTTGCAAAGCAACTTGCATGCATACTGGATGAAAAGAAAGCCATAAGAGAGCCAGTCCTGGGGAAGGGCTCTGCAGAGGGGTATCTCTTTTGGAGCATCTTTTCTTACCACGTCAGACCCTGCAGCTTGTTCACACAAAAGGCTGAGGAATCCTCCTGATGAATTCTAGTTTTCCTTCTGCTCCTGCTTCAGATCCAAATGACTTCTGATGCCCTAAAGCCAGAGATAAGGATGAGAGCCTGAAAGAAGCAGACAGACATGCATGCTGTCCTGTCCCCTTATCGTGTCTGATGGTAGCTGGCAGCACCACCTTAGTGCCTCCTGCTGTACGAAACAGACCTCCCCAAAAACTTCAGTAGTGTGCACTGCTCTTCCTTCTTTCCATTTTTCCTTAGCTAATGATGAAACAACTCCTCCCAACCAATCAGTCCTACAATGTTAACAGTATTCAATCCTAAAAAAAAAAAAAAAAAGCTACAATGAGACATGAAAAAGGTGGGATCACTCAGTTTCCATGCTGTTCACAGCAATATTACATCTTCTAACAAGAGAGGATTCTCAAAGGCAGTGTGTAAAAATAAAACACAGCTCTCATGGTCTAAACAGAAATATTTAGGTTAAAAACAACCCACCAAACTCTCACATCTCTGTTTAGTGTAATGAAATATATCCTTACATTTATACACAAAAATTACCTTCATGTCTTGCATGTACATGAATCATGCCCCCCCTTGATTAATACATGTTTTACCTTCAGAAGGAACTTAATATAGACATCATCAGGGATAACATGTAGTGTTATTTTATTTTCCACCAAGTCCTACGCTGTTCTCTTCAGCATCCTAGTCCTATCATGACAGTACCTGAAGCCATTTGGTTAGCAACAAACAAGCTTGCTGTGTTACAGCTCAGTCAGCACTGAAAACCAAATTAGCGCATGCCAGCATAATGCTGGACAATACCTCTGCCTCTTGAAGTCAGGCAGTGAACGAAAGAATACACTAAAACAAGCATGTTGTTTTCACAGCACTAGAGCAGTTTTCAAAGCAAACCCACCAAGTTTGTTCAAAAATTCCACGCAATGAATGGTTGGTGTATGCTGGACAGACACTGTCCTGGAATGCTGTGGTTTGTGGACACGCATGCCATATAAAAACCTAAAGCATTGCTTAGCAACTATTTCTAGACGCTTTTCTTTACTTTTGTGGATTATTTCACATTTTCTATCCATGACTGAACAGCAAACTGCCAGAATAAGAGTCTTATCTTTCATAAAATGGAAGAATAACACTTCTGTCTCTTTCTTTCCAGGATTTCTTGTAATAGCCAGAATGTGTGAAAAATTAAGACAGGAACAAAATTCCCACAGTCCCGAAACATTCCACAAATTCATGAAGCACTCCACATTTTTCTTAGGACAAGAAGGAACGACTTCAAGTTGTGCCACGGGAGGTTCAGGTTGGGTGTTAGGAACAATTTCTTCTCAGAAACAGTGGTGCAGCAGTGGCACAGGCTGCCCAGGGAGGTGGTGCAGTCACCGTCCCTGGAGATGTTCAAGAGCCGTGTGGATGCGGCACTGAGGGACGTGGGCAGTGGGCGCGGTAGGCTGGGTTCAGCGCTAGATCGCACGTACAACCGCACGCACGTATAACCATACGCACCGAGAAAGAAGCGCGCTGGCCGCCATATTGCCGCCGGCCTAACCGCACCGCGCATGCCCCCAGCGGCGGGCCCGCCATTGCCCCTCCGCTCGCATGCCGCCGAGTCACGTGTCTCCCGGCAGAGCTGGCGGCGGCGCTCGGGCTCCCCCCGGTGGGCCGCGGGGAGCCGTCCGTGTGAGACGGGGAGAGCAGGGCAGGGGAGCGGGGAGGCGGCGGGCAGCAGGCAGCAGGTGAGACGGCGTCGCGCGGAGGGGTGTCTCTCCCGCCCTACATAGCAGTGCGTGTGGGCGCCCTCTTCGTGACTGCCAGCGCCCCCTTGGCCTGGTGGGGGTCGGCCGTTGGGAGCAGAAGGGGCGGGGTTAGCTCCGGCTGCTGCGTTCCGCTCGCCTCGGCCCTGAGCCCGCAGCCTGCCCAGCGTAGTTAGAGCGGGCCCAGGGGCGTTAAGAACCCGATTTGTAAGGACCGCTTCATATCAGCATATTGAATTTCAAGAGATTATTCATTGATGGGCTGTTTACGAGGGTTAATAGTGATAGGACAAGGGGGAATGGTTTTAAACTGAGACAGGGGAGGTTTAGGTTAGATACTAGGAGGAAGTTTTTCACACAGAGGGTGGTGAGGCACTGGAACAGGTTGCCCAAGGAGGCTGTGGATGCCCCATCCCTGCAGGCATTCAAGGCCAGGCTGGATGTGGCTCTGGGCAGCCTGGTCTGCTGGTTGGCGACCCTGCACACAGCAGGGGGGTTGAAACTGGATGATCATTGTGGTCCTTTTCAACCCAGGCCATTCTGTGATTCTATCATCATTCCTTTTAAGTGGTAGATGGGTGGGTTTAATGGACAAATGGCACAAAATTATCTTTACCAACCACCTAGTAGGAGAGAAAGCAGTGATCTGTATGCTGTGCTATGTTGCAAGTCCAGCGAGGTTACAGTCCCTCTGTACTTGGCACTGGTGAGGCTGCACCTTGAGGGCCCTGTTCAGTTTTGGTCCCCTCACTACAAGAAAGACATCAAGGCCCTGGAGTGTGTCCAGAGAAGGGCAGCAGAGCTGTGAGGGGTCTGGAGCACAAGTCTGTTGGGAAGCAGCTGGGGTTGTTCACTGGAATTCCTCAATGAAAAGCATAGTTCCAGTTTATGTTGCACTGAGTTTGTAGAAAGGCAGTAAAGCTCTGATCTTTTGGGAAGCAAGACGTGCATAACAAACCTGTGCCGCTGTTGCTATGGCAGGAGAAAGCTGTATTGTGATTTAATTTCCATTTACACTGTAATACTACTAGTACTGCTTCAGTAGAAATTAACAAGAAATTCAGAATTCACTGTTAGTCTGCAAAAGAAAGTATACTGGTCTGAATTTTTTTGTAGGGATTTCTTTGGTTCCAATAATATAACAAGATAAGACTTGAAAAAGCTGTATAAGTTCACATAAACATACTTAATATGATTTTTAAAAAATGTGTTTGTAGGTTTGTTTATAATGTATCTGCATCTGAAGAAATAGAAAGTGGTTTTATACGATGCTGACTTACACCATAGGACATCATTTAATGGTACATCAAGCAATGATTCCAAGAAGCTTGAAGCCGTTTTCCTATATCTGTGGCCATAGAATGTTGTCAGGCTACAAACCTAAAAGGAATGTCAAGGACTCTTACAAAATTCTTGAGCTTGAGGAAGGATGTTCACTCGATGATATCAGAAATTCGTATCGAAGTCTTGCCAAAAAGTACCATCCAGACAGCGGTTCCATCACAGCAGATCCTGCAGCATTTGTGAAAGTAGAAGAAGCGTACAGAGTTGTGCTTAATGATGTGGCAAACAAAAAGAAATCCACTGAGAATAAGGAAGACGAGGAGGAAGACCAGCTCAAATCAAACGCGCCACAGCATAGACACTACTTGAGTTTTGAAGGTGTTGGTTATGGAACACCAAGCCAAAGAGAAAAGCAGTACATGCAGTTCAGAGTAGACCGTGCTACTGAGCAAGTGTTGGCATACCGAACGCGGAGACTTGAAAACCAGTACGTTGCAACGGACCTTATGAGAGCCAAGGATGTGAGACAGAGCAAAAAAGTGAAGATAACTCAGGCAGTTGAACGGTTGGTCGAGGACCTCATCCAGGAATCAATGGCAAAAGGAGATTTTGACAACCTCAGCGGGAAAGGAAAACCTTTGCAGAAGTTTTCGGATTGTCCTCATATCGATCCTATGACTCACAACCTGAACAGGATTCTGATAGACAACGGATACCAGCCGGAGTGGATCCTCCTGCAGAAAGAAATCCGGGAAACGATCGAGCGATTAAGAAAGAGCTTAGTGGAATCCAGGAGTAAGCTCGGAGAGCCAGTGACTCCGTATAGGCAAAAGGAATGGAATCACATCTGTGAGCAGTTCGTGGAAGATATCAGGAAGTTAAACAAAAGAATTGACAGCTTCAATTTAGTTGTTCCTATTCTGAGCAGACAAATGGTGCACTTCAGTGCAGACAGAGAAATCATTCGAGCACAAAAGACCTACGAAGCTTCGATGGAAAGCACGGAGACTTCTGATTCAGACACAAAGGAAAATGAAGGGGAAGGGGTTAAACGGTTTGGGTGGAAGTCTTCTCTACTGAAGTGGTTAAATACTACATTGAAATAAGATCATATTAGCTCACCTCTCTTGTCACGTTTTTGAATGCACTTTATAACTAAAACCTGTAGCATGAGAGAAATTTCAGATTCACTGAAAATGTAAAATCCACCTGGCTGTTACACCTCTTAAAGGAATTGGGGTGTCTGATGTTCACTTGTGGGTAATTAATTCTTTGTGAATGCTGCTAAGGAACAAGTGAATTCAGTTCTCCTATTGCAGCCCATTTTTCCTTCTGCTTAAATCAAAATTTGTGCTTTTCGGTGTATAATGATTTAATGATTTGTACAATGCTGTTTCCGTAACATGAAACCGACGCGTCAGTAAAACACTGTAAGGACAAAGTGGAAGTAAAAGTCTGGCTGTGCCCTTTACTTTGACCTTTATCCTTCCTTGTTTAAATGTCCTTTGGATAGCAGGCTGAGAAACATCAGGTTTTAATTCTCATTATGTTCCACTAGAATTGGATGTGAATTGCTGTTTAAATGAATGCAGTGACCCATGTGAAAAGCGCTAATTGTAAGTTGGATTCATTGCACGAGCGTAAATAGGAACCGGATTCCAATAAATCTGACTCTGATGGAATCCATTTTGGCTCTCCATGAAGTTAAGTATCAGCAGTTTAAATACTGAAGTTGCCATAATGGATGAGTCAGCATTCGGAATGGCTTTTGTGTACCTTTTAAAGCTACTTGGTTCTAATGGAGCAGATGAGACCTGATTCTCGGCACTTAGAGCCAGCCTTGTGCTTGTAGCATGAAAAGCTGCCAGGTGCAAAAGCTACTTTTTCAATAATTATAATGACGATTAAAAAAAAGAAAGACGGACAAGGAATGGTAGTTTAAATTTGTATTTGCTCTAGATGTGGGATGGAGCAATTCAGTTTCAGTGTCACTGCTGTGTTTTGCCTTCATCTCTCTGAAGTCTGGCTCTCCAACCTTTTGTGCCAGGCGGAGTTTGTTCTGAGGGTTGTTTGAAGTTTGTGCTGAGGATGCTGGTGCCGCCTCTTTCAGCGTTACGGGAAGAAAGCGACGCGAAGGACACCGAGCCCCGCGCACAGGGGAGCAGGACCGGAGGGGGCAGGGCCGCCCCCGCCCGGGGATACGGAGGGGGCGGAGCTTCGCTCGTGAAGGCGGAGGCGCCGCCCAATCATTCCGCTCCTTCCTCGCCCGGCCTCCAGTGACGTGCGGTACCGGCTTCCTATTGGAGGAGGGCCGCGTCGCTCGCCGGTCAGCCCGGGCTTCTGCCCCGCCCCCCCGGCAGGCGGAAGAGTCTCGCGCAGGACGGGGTACGTGCGACCGCCGCTTCCCGCTCGCGCTGCGGTAGGGGGCGAAGGGGTGTGGGAGCAGGGGGGCGGTGGGGGCGGCCGGGGCTCGCGCGCTCCGCTCCCGCTCTCCGCTCTCCGCTCAACGGCTCCCGCTTCCCGCTTCCCGCCGCGTCTTCTCACCGTCCCCTCTCGCTGCTGGGGGAAGCTCGGGCCGGTACCTTCCGTCCCGGACGGGGCAACGCGCGGCAGCTCTGCGCTCTCCGGGCTCGAGGGCCCGGCCGCGCCGCCCGCCCCGGTGCCGTGACCTTTTGGCGGAGTCGCGGGCCTGGGCTGGGGGCGGGGACGTGGAGGTCCGTAGGCCGCCCTCAGCGTGACGGCAGCCGGCGGGGCTCGGGTCGCCGCTGTGGGGGCTTGAACCCCTAGGGGTAATGGAGCGGTCACGGCGCCTTGGAGCCGGGTATCGTGCTGAGGGCTGCGGGGGGCCGTTGTCCGTTCCATGCCTTGGCCCCTTAGCCGTAGGGTTATTAATCGGAAAGTTCCTGTCCTTCCTTTTACCGCCTTGCCTGAAACGCAGGCGATACGGTATTGTGTGTGGGAAACTGAAAGTGAAACTCACGTGGTGGCAGAAATGGGGGAGTGGTGCAGCGGGGACCACTGGCACAGAGCGGGGTAGAAGTGCTACTGTAAGGTCCTTGCAGTGACTGCCGAGTATCTTCTGCTGCTCCACTAGTTCTTGTGCATTGCATGTATATGGCTTACAGCGTGTTCAAACCGATGTCTTGTGAAAGGTGCTTTCTCCTTCCCTGAGGAAGAGAGGAAGGAATATGTTCTTCATGGCTTTCAGTGGCTCTTCCTCTGGCCTGTCTTTTGCTTTCTGCTTGGAAATAGCAGGCCCCATTCTTTGTAGCCTAGCAGTATTGCAGCCTAAGACAGTTTTCCCTGTGCAGGTTTTTTCGCTTCCTTATCACTGCTTTCACATTTTGTTCATGTGGAACCAGTCTTTTTGGGGGAGAGAACCTAACTTTACGAAGAAACTTTTATGTTCCAGGCCTCATGTGGTATGTTGTTTTGCCTCATTCAAGTGAATGATACCCTAGTTGCTTTAACCCAGGTGCTGGCACCTACTGAATGTTATTTCTGCAGCAGCTATAATTGTCCCAGTTATTTTTTAGGCCCAGTTTGTTCTTGCTTGGACAGGGACGGTGTTGTCCTTTCATAGACAGAAATATCTATCTGTGGTGGGCATGGAGTGAGGAAACGCTCAGTCACGCAGGAAGGGATGGTGCATCACTGCCTTTAATTGTGTGACTATGAAGTCTCTACACATGCAGATCTATAGAAATATGAAGACAAATGTTATTTTTACTCTTGCGTGGCATTCTTCTAATTGTACGAGAGACTCCTCTGTGGAATTCTGCGTGGCATCAGTTAATGTTTACATTATATAAGGAAAAAGGGCAGAGACATCAGCTCCTTTATCCCCATTACTGCCAGAAGCCCACTCTAGCACTCCTCTTTGTGAAATCGAAGCTGGTTTCTAGCATTAGACACATGTAGAAATAATTCCAAACTTCTTGTCTGTCTTGTGTTGCGAAAACACTATGCTGTGTTTCCCAATGTCTGCCATTCTAGTGAAAGAGGAAAATTGTACAGTCAGTTACAAGTCTTTGCTGTTGAAAGACTGCCAGCAGATAGTGCTTATCTCATCTCTTCGCATCATCGAGGTGCTTTTCTTCTCAGCACAAAGACGAAGTTACAGCAAAGTGTAGGTTGGTGAGTCAGTATTTCTGGTAAAATATGCTTTGGTATAAAGCTGCTCCATATCTTAAAATGTATATTAAAAAAAATATTTAAAAAAGATCAGTGCAGCACTAGAATCATAGAATGGCCTGGGTTGAAAAGAACCACAATGATCATCCAGTTTCAACCCCCTGCTGTGTGCAGGGTCACCAACCAGCAGACCAGGCTGCCCAGAGCCACATCCAGCCTGGCCTTGAATGCCTGCAGGGATGGGGCATCCACAGCCTCCTTGGGCACTACATTCACTCACTTGTCACTTATGCAGTTGTGAAAATTCTGTTTGATACTCAAAACAGTTGAGAGGGGTTTTGTCTCAGATTTTTCATGTGACCAAAATGCCTCTGTTTTGTTTTTGAACTTAGTGCTTAAACGTGTTTAGTAAGTAAGAGGATCGTGCCATGTGTTAAGTTTATTGTGACTGACTTGGTGGCGTTGAACGGGTCTGACTGTGTGATGTACGTACTATGTACATACGTATGTTAGTACTATGTACCAGATGCCACCTGTTATTTGCTTTGAACATTGGTTTAATTAAATTGGCTGGCCAAGCAAACCATTTAACACCTTTAAGTACATCAGTACTATTAAAACTGTGTGTTACGGGAAAAGAATCTGAAAGAAAATACAGATTTGAAAAAATAGGTCTTCAAAAAGTATGGAATCATAGACTCATTAAGGCTGGAAAAGATCTCTAAGATCCCCCAGTGCAACCACCAGCCCCCCCCCCCCACGCCCACTGCCCACGTCCCTCAGTGCCACATCCACACGGCTCCTGAACACCTCAGGGACGGTGACTGCACCACCTCCCTGGGCAGCCTGTGCCACTGCAGCACCGCTCTTGCTGAGAAGTTGTTCCTGATACCCAACCTGAACCTCACCTGGTGCAACTTCAGGCCATTCCCTTTGTCCTATCACTGTTAGCCAGGAGCAGAGACTGACCCCCACCTCACCACAGCATCCTCTCAAGCGGTTGTAGAAAGCGATGAGGTCTGTCCTGAGCCTCCTCTTCTCCAGGCTGAGCAAGCCTAGCTCCCTCAGCTGCTCCTTCTGAGAGTATTAGCAGGCAAGATAATAAATTTGGTGGATTTGACAGAAGTGCCATTGTTCTCAGTAGAGAAGGAAAAAAACAAAACCAACAAAAACATGCTGCATTACCTACTCCTGCTTGTGGCCAGCTGTACTGCTGAGCATAATCTGTATAGTCCGCAGTGAAGACAGTGACAGGAGCTATGGGCTGCATTCTGCCCTGAGTGATCAAGAGGGTGTGAGGGGAAGACAGAGATTCTGGCAGGAAGGGTAGATTTCTGCTTGAGGAAAATAAACAGTTTCATGGACTGAAGAGGAACAAATGAAGTACATATGGAATCATTTTGAGAGTGCAAAACAAGGAAGGGCCACCCGAGCACTGATGAACTTTGCTTTCATTTTTCTATGTATGAAGATCTGTGACTGATCATCCGGCTGCAAAGGAGGACATCCCTTACCCTTGGTATTAGTTGTTTTTCACTGAGGTGATCGCTTTTCCACTGTGATAGAAAGACACTATATTCTCTTTTTTGTTTGGAGACAGGAAATACAGGCATCTTATCTAAGATTCCTTTATCAGACTCAAAGATCAGGTTCTGCTCTGCATGTGAAGTCCTGCCCTGTGTCTCTTACTCTTTTTTTTAACTGCCAATAATAGGATTACAGTTCAGTGGTGAAGCTTAGGGTGAAATGTTTTTGCTTTTTTGGCTCCCACTTTTGTTTCTATACGTTACAAATAAATAAGCATATGTTTACATCTCAGGTACGATGCATCGAGTGCAGTGCTCACGTGCTGATTTTATATTGTAACTCTGTTTGTGATGGAGTTTACTCTATTTAATGAAGCTCAATGGAACAGCTATAGAATGTGTGGAATACTTCTGCAAAAATATACATTTTAAAGGCTGCTCGTGACAGTTTGTCAAACATCTTGAGTTTTTACCATTCTGTGCTAAATACATTCTTGGCCATGTTTCAGGTGCTTAGAACGCTGCTGTTAATGGAAGAATTCATGTGTAAGTGCAGAACAAGAGCAGCAGTCTAATCTGTGAGGAAATGGCAGGATTCTTGGACAACTTCCGGTGGCCAGAATGTGAGTGTATTGACTGGAGTGAAAGAAGAAATGCCATTGCTTCCATAGTTGCTGGTGTATTGGTAAGTTATGAATACGTGAGTGTTTGCTCCTCTGTGAGAGGAGCTGGGTTGTAACCGTGCTGACAAATTTGGAAATACAACAAAGTTATTTTTGTAAAATGTTGTGGAGTTTTGCTGTTAACTGCACCTTGATCCAGCGTATTTCTCAGATTTTTTTTTTTTCCCAAGTATAACCATTAGCCATCCTTTTTTACAGATCACGTAAATTTGCATTGTATTTAATTTTCCAGGCTGGATGTGGCTCTGGGCAGCCTGGTCTGGTGGTTGGCAACCCTGCCTGTGGCAGGGGGATTGAATCTGGATGATCATTGTGGTCCTTTTCAACCCAGGCCATTCTATGATTGCAATAATAATAAACTGGTCCTACTATCTCTTCTTTAAAAAAAGATTGCAATTCCTAATGGAGTTTTGGCAAAATTACTTACATTATTCGTAGTTTATGTTTTGGATCCTTGTCCTGAAAGTATTACAGAGAACTCAGCCACAGGCTGAGGTGTAATTGAATAGAAACAGAACCAATTCTCCAGTGCTTCTGTGAAAACATCCTCTTTAAGGTATAATGCAGAACTCGCTTATCAAACGTTTAGTCTGACTTGAAGCTAGTCGCTTTCTCTGTCAGTATTTGATAAAGGAAAATTAAATGATGTACAGAAACATTTGACATGTTTTGTCAGTCTGTTTTTGTGCCCTTCCTGCCTCATAGTAGTGGTGTTATTTATTTCTAGTTTTTCACAGGTTGGTGGATAATGATAGATGCTGCAGTAGTTTACCCAAAGCCAGAGCAAATGAACCACGCGTTCCATACCTGTGGGGTGTTTTCAACACTAGCTTTTTTCATGTAAGTGTATATAGAAGGGAGTTCTTTCACTGTATAGTAAATGTGAGCTCTTAAACACCATCTTTACTAGACCATATACATATGGTAAAACTTTGTTATATATTACTTCTGAGTAATCTTGTATCTATTGTGACGATGTAAACTTGGCAAGCTTGAGGTAGAAGTAATGGGTTTTAGTGAAAAGAAAATAGTTTTTATTGGAGAGAAAAAAAAGATACTTATGGATATTCACAGCTTTCTTGTTATTTGGTATTTTGAAGTTTGTTTTTCTTCCTCAGCAGTCTAATTTAAGAAAATAAATGGTCCCCCCCTTACAGGACACGTCTCACTTGAAGATCTCTGCTATTCATTGCAAAGCAGAGACATCAAAAAGCATTTTACAGTCATGAGACTACTGTGTTACTATTATTGTTCCTGAAAAGTGACTTTAGTGCTACTAAAAACTTAAACAGATGGCCAAAAAATGACCAGCAATGTTTCAGTCACTTTAAAAAAAGGCAGTTCTGATTTTTCAGCTTACAGGTCTGTTAATGCAAACATTTAGGTAAACTTCAGCAGGAATATAGGGTTTGCTTGAAGGCATGTTGGGATCCCTCCATTAGGGATGGTGTAATACTGTGTGACCGTACAGAATGGCAGTAATTCTTCCAGAGTTTTTTCCACCTTTTAAAAAAAAAACAAACAAATGAAAGCTTTATACTTGGGATTTTTAACTGATAACTTGAAATGTCCACGCTTTTTTTGTTCCTAGGATAAATGCTGTATCAAATGCACAGGTGAGAGGAGACAGCTACAGTGATGGATGCTTAGGAAGAACAGGTAAATTAAAATAATGCTGGGTTAAAGGACTGATATTTTAAGGTATTGTTGTTTTGTTCTCATGCAGTGGTTAAATAATAATCAGAAGCTAAGAAGTAGGACAAAAGTTCTGTTAATTCTTTGCAAAATTAACACTTGAAGGTAAGTACTGTCATTGTTAAAAGGCAAATTTGGGAAAATTTGATCTCTTTATAGTGTGAACACCTGAAGTTTTCTCTGCTTGTCCCATATACTTGTTCAGAGAAATAAATTTCTGCCTAGTAGTAAGCAATGGATCTGAGTTCCTTCTGAATCTGTTATTTTAGAGTGCACTGCAAACATTGTTTCCTCGGTATGTCACCCACTGTGTGCTGTCTGTAGGCCTGCTGCTCTCTCTCCTCTTTCATTCATAATTCCCTTACTATTTCCTATGTGGCTCCCAGCATCAGTTTTCATGTGATCTGCAGGACATCTCATGGGAAATCTGGGAGGATTTACTCATTTGAACGAGGCTACAATGCCTTCCTGTGTTTCATTCTTAAGTCTGTTGGAGTAAATCTTTGCACGTAAAGATTTTTCCTTTACCATGAGTGAGCAAGTTGGTTATTTGCAGAGGCTTCATCCTCCGTTCTGAGTGGGCAATGTCTCGCAGTGCAGGGTCTCCAGCATTTCAATTAGTTGTCTACCTTGACCTTTCCTTGAGGAGGATGGCATGTAAGGGAAAGGGACCTCTTGGGTCACCGAGTAAATCAAGGGATTTCACCCATATGAAAATACCTTTCTGAAGTAAACACAGGAAGGGTTTTTTTGTGCACCTTATCAGGATGCCATCCTTACCTCAGAAAAACTATAGCTTTGGCAGTGTACCTGTTAAGTAGTCCACTCCATGTGATGTTAAATGATGTTACGGGCATTCCCTTCAGATGAGGAGAAATTTCTGGTAACTGTTTGCTAATATCCACCTCCTATCTACCTTGTTAAAGAAGACAATTTTTGGATGATGTTATCCTTTACACAGGGTTTAACCCTTTCCTTTTGAACCTTCTGTGTCTGATCGTATGTCACTACATGTACACTATCACCACTACGTGGTTCTCAGGGCTTTTAATATTTCCTGCAGGTGCTCGTGTTTGGCTCTTCATTGGCTTTATGCTGATGTTTGGTTCACTCATTGCTTCAATGTGGATTCTTTTTGGAGCATATGTTACACAGAGTAAGTTTCTTTATTGATTAGTTTTAGAAATGGGTTTCACTGCTTTCTGGAAGTATCATCAAGTTTGATGTGAAGTATTCTGTTTCAGCTTGGTATGTATCTTGTGATATGGTGGTTTGTTTATGAGCTTCATTTTCCTGAAGGCTGTGAATGTGAAAATCTGTAACATGTTGGACCCTTCACAGTCCTTTACTGCATGGATTTGAGGATTGCTTGATGAAATTGAAGTTAGGAACTACCACAATGAACCATTTCAAGCAGTTCAGATATATACAAGTGTTCTATATAAAGTACAGACACTGGTAGCTGTTACTGTTATTCAGGAACTGCTACCAAGTACTGTTTTAAGAGCAAACCAAGCAAAACCAAAAAGCAACCAAACACAATGCCCGAACTCTTGATTGAAATCTAAAAGTGTTTTTAAAATTACACATTGTCTTCTGGCATTGAACTTTATTTTCAGATATAGAAAATACTTCTGCTGAAGGACAGAATATCTAGAAGAGTGGAAGTGTGGTCTGTCCTTGCTAGAGCAATGCAAAGCACCTACTTTTCTTGTTGGTGATGAGTGTTTTAGAAACCCTTTCCTGCACAAAAGAATCTTAATATTTCCTTTGTTACTTACTTTGCAGACATCAATGTTTACCCTGGATTAGCAGTGTTTTTCCAGAATGCATTGATATTTTTCAGGTAAGATACCTGGATCAGCTTCCTTCCTTTTGAAGGAGTATTGCGCACACCTGCTTTCATCCACATAGGTACTTCTGGAAATTCAATTCTAACCAAAGCTCACACCAGACTTGATCTTTGACAATGTGGAGCTCTGCTGACAGTGCAGAGCCCCATTTCAGTTAATTACCTGCTCTGATCTTCACTTGAGGAGTGAAACCTGTGAGGCAGAGATCACTTGGCTCACAGAGTAAACTGGCACAATATAGAGAACTGATGTGATGATATTAATCATTTTATAAACAGATCCAATTATTACTTTTCTTACTCTGCTATCACTTACTACCCTGTTTGCTCCAGTGCTTAGAAGCAATTCTTTAATTACCCCTTCTTAGAGACAGAGCACTGTTCAGAGATTCATGTTCTTGTTTATAGAATCATAGAATGGCTTAGGTTGGAGGAGACCTCAAGGATCATCTAGATCCAACCCCTGCCGTGGTGCCCCCCATCAGTTCAGGCTGCCCGGGGCCCCATTCCAGCCTGGCCTTGAGCGCCTCCAGGAATGGGGCACCCACAACCTCTCTGAGCAACTTGTTCTAGTGCCTCAACACTCTCTAAGTAAAATGTTTCTTCTTAACATCTAACCTAAATTTCCCCTCTGTTGTCTTCAAGCCATTCCCCTTTGTCCTATCACTATCAGGCCACCTAAAATGCCAGTTCCCCTCCAGCTTGTAAGTACTGGAAGGCCACAATGAGGTCTTCCTGGAGCCTTCTCATTTCCAAGCTATACAAGCCCAACTCCCTCAAGCTTTCTTTACAGGAGAGGTGCTCCAGCCCATTGATCATCTTCGTGGCTCTCCTCCTGAGCCTGTCCTACAGCTCTGCTTATTCCTGTAGGATGGGGCCTCACAAGGGCAGGGTAGAGAGGGACCATCACCTTCCTCTCCTTTCTGGCCACCCCTCTGTTATTGCCATGCAACCAATTCTTTATCCACCTAACAGTCCAAGCCTTGTTAGTCCAGTTCTTTCTGGACTAGTGTATGTATGACTAAGTGATGACAATTTCCTGGGTGAAATATTCAGTGTCTATGACACAATGGATAATGGCAATATCCTCTCTGTACAACAAACGCCTTAGCATCTCTCCTGCCATCAGTAGGTGAGACATCCTATTGCCTTTTTCTTTACTATTTCATAGCAATGGCTAGCTTATCTAATACCTGATAGACTTAGATTTGTTCCTGATGGGTGAAAAGTTCCCTGAACATTCTCTGATTTACAAACTTCCTCTTTTGGAAGTTCTTATCCGCCTAAGTTAGTGTGCTGTTTTCCTTCTAGTACTGTGTTAAATGCTGGGCAGTGATCACTACTGCCTGACTCTTCTATGACTTTGTTTGGAAAACCAGTTATGTTCTTGTGCAAAATAGCAGTCCCTAAATCTGTTTTGTACTCTTGCATGACTAAAGTCAAGAAACAGAAAAATAGATACTAATATGAATAGAAATTAAAATTGCTGAAAAGACATTGATTTTTGCTGTGTAACAGTGTAAGATTGTACGTTAACTATTAAAATGCCCTTTTCCTCTTTATGTATGGCCTGATTTTTTTTTTTTTCCCCTTTCTTTTTCTTCTTCAGTACTCTGATCTACAAGTTTGGAAGAACAGAGGAGTTATGGGGATGAGAGATCACAATACAGCATTGTCTATTCCATAGTTGCTCTGTTGTACTCTGTATGTAGATATTTACGTTCATTTGTTCTCGTTTTGCTTTCTAAATAGTATGAACTGAGACAAACTACGATTTCTGTAATAAGCTCTCTCTTTTCATAGGACAGATTTGTGAATATGTACATATGACTGTATATATCTTAAAAAGGGAAAGTCGGGCTTTCTGAAATCTTCAGGCTTATTTCTTCAAATACATAAGTTTCCATTGACTGTTAAGACTCGATCTTCCAAACCTTCACACATGTGAGAGGCTTCAGTTGAACTGCAAGTGAGTAAGCAGGATGGAAGGGATTTATATCTTTATGCATAGGTGAGCTATTCCTGATTATTGATAGCTGACAGTAAGGGCTGCTTGCATACCTGGAGGGGAGTGGTAGCTCGTGGAAGTGACCTTTTATTTCCTGAGGGTAAATTCTACTGTATGCTGAGTTAAGGGTTGAGTTTTATGTTTTTCTGAACGGTTATATCCAATTAAGTAGCTTTTTTGTGTGTGTAAAAGGTTATGAGTTTTTAAACAAGACCCTATTTTAAGTAGGTTCTGCATGACCAGTCCAGCTGTACTTGATTACCATTGCACAAATGAAACTTGGTAGCAGCACGGAATTTATTTCTTGCTGTTCAGTGTAAGAGATGCCAATCATTATTTATTGTATATACTAGAATTTCAAAAACCCTGCAACTGCTGCCAATTGTTAGGGAATAGAAAGAATAGGTGAGAATCAGACTGACAGCTTAAAAATTATGCTCAAATAGATTTTCTTCAGGGGAAGCTTTTTGTTGAGAAATGAGCAGTTCTGCTGCCACCTATTATTACCTTAGGTAATGGAACAGGTGAGTACTTCAGATGGGAATATAGCAGATTGCATTATTGCTAACAGTTTTACCTTGAAATAAGTGCCAGTTTTAGGACTGTTGCTTGCCCCAGTTTAAATGTATATATGTTCCAAATTTCACAGGTATTTTATAGGGTATTTTATAGGAATGTGTTCACTATTGGAAACCATTTTCTTCGAGCTGGAGTATACAGAAAGGAGAACAGCAGTGTTTTATGGCTTTGGACTGATGTTGTATATTCATCTTGCTGTTGGTGACCTCCTTGTAAGTTCTATGTGTTTTTAAAACAGTTGAATCTACTTGTGTCTGAAAGCTTTTATAACTTTCCATGTATCAAGATTGCTGACCAAGTGGCATTAAACTTCAGAACATAACATACGTGCATGGTTACTGCATACCGTTAGTCATCTAATTGCTCCCTTGGGGGAATCTTTCCAGTGAACAGAGTATGAAGCAAATTCTGCAGCTGAAACTGTGCTACTGGCTAGACTAACTTCCATCCTCATTGTGTCATCCTGCAGTGAGTTACTGTATCTTCACTGGTGTTAATCACAGCTTTGTACATACATTGTCTGGTTGGTTGTAATTCCAGAAAACTGCAATAAACTTTATCTTATGTTCTCCAAATAATGAACATCAGCAGATAATTGGGCAGTAGTAGTCTACTGAACAGCTGAAGTGATTCAGACTTTTAAGAGAGTCTTGCAAAACCTCATATTTAAAACCAAGGTTTTTGTTTTCATGTCTCCCACATTCTCATACAGGAGAATGGTTGTTGGCTTTTCTACTAAGTGAGAAACAAAGGTAGCCTCTAACTAATTCCAGTATGTCTGGCATCTGACACTTGAACAGCACAAGCTGAGGTAAACGCTTCACTCTGGAAGAACTCTTCCAGTGTACCTTACTGTAAGTTTCTAGTTAAGAAACTTTTTTTTAAGAGTACCCAGCAAAGTGCTTCTTTCTGAGGTTCTCTCTGTTTTCTGCCGGAAGCTCGCTTGCTGTCTGCATAGCTGCTGATAGGAGACACTGTAGAAGCTGCATCTCTTCCAGCAGCTGAAGCTCAGAATGTATTTGGTGTAAGAATCATGCGGAGAACATGAACGTGTGCGAACATTATTCAGAGTAACCCTAGGTCTTTTACAGCATGGATTGTTCCAGCAGAGTCCAAGATGATCAGGAGTTGCACATTGTAGGTTACACCTTGGCCTGCTATGGTTGGCAGTTATGAAGCTTATCTTTGAGTTCACCCTAACAGTTTTTGTTTTGGTGGCCTATTTGTGCAACTAAGAAATAGTAAATAACCCTCCATAAGAGAAGTCTAGTATGTAGTCTCTGTAGTACAGTGTACTTAGCAAGTTGTATTCTGTACTGCCAGATACTCACCCGAGGTGCTTAAACAGCTTTTTGTGTCCTGCCTTATGCACGTAGGCTGTTGCTGTGGGGAGCCTGTGGTTATCTGTTTACATTACCACGTGCAAAAATACAGATGAAGGGAAGGAGCAGATACTGTGTAGCTCTGTGACTGATTTGCAAGTTCATAATGGGGCTTGAAGTAGATTAAGTCTTCAGGTAACTCTACAGTCTTGGCATGGTGTGTGATTTAAGGGATTAGATTACTTCTACTAGTACACAGAATGAGGAAGTTTTTGGGAAATACTGCTTAATTTTGACGCTAGCCGTGTGTCTTCCCAGAGGGGAGGGAACGGCAGCAGCTGAGATAACTTCTAGCTGTGGCACTGACTGATAACCTGCATCTGTTTCAGCAGCATGCTTCATTAATAGGTCTGAGAATCCAAGCAAGCCACACGCAAACAGCCAAACACATCTATTTTATTTCTTAAAACAACTTGTATCAAACATTAAAAAGTCACATTTTTTTTATGGAATAAACCCTGTCTTTTTACTGTAGAAGTGGTTACTTTTGTGTTATGAGACACCTTTCAGATCCCATGGGATTATTACATGAGGCTTAATTTGTGGTCTGCTGTTTATGCTTTGAGATACTGAAACCACAACTCCCAGTCAGCCGGGCACTTACACAACTGGACTGCTAGAGAGCGTTAGTGTCTCACCATTATCAAGATATTTTATATAACTTCTGAGCAAAATAAGTTTTATTGCTGTGAAGTATATGATCGTCTCACTGTAGGAACAGATTAATGCTTTTTATTACTGTGTGAAGATGCACAGATCCAAGGGAGATGCAATTAACTGCCCTTTGCCTTTCTTGGAGTAGTTCTTTGCATGGATTCACAATGAGGAGGATTAAATACCATGAAGTTTCTTTCTAGACTGTCATTTTTGGCTGAAGCAGCAGTCGTGGAAGACAAATTTAAAGCAAATTGGGAAAGCATGTTGGATTGCATTTAATACACTCAGGGGACAACACAGACTTCACAAATAAAGTAACAAAACAAAAGCCGCTATAAAATTATTTAAAAATTCCTCATTATACTCAATAAAGTGCCATTATTTCTCAAAGCTGGGCTTCAGGGGGAGGAGGGAGAAATATGATGATGATACAATCATTTGTAGCCAGCTGTCTTTTTTAAGGCAATTTAGTGTTCATTTCACCTTCAAATTCCACCTTTTTAGTCTGTGGCAGAAAGAATATTATTGCTGCTGTAGCACAGCAGAAACTGCTTTAAAAAAGGCCCAGGTTCCACATTATTCTCAGGAAGTCTTGCTCAGAATTTGTTAGTGGCTGCACTTTGTCCAGAGCTCACTGTCTGTCCTGGTGGGAGCTGAGCAGCACCGCTTGGAGGCAGGAGCTTCTGCAAAAACTGGATACAAGTGTTCTCACAAAGGTGCCCCTTAAGTTCCATCAGGGCTGCTGGAGCTGCTGTGTGAACAAGTGTTACCATCCAACATGTCACCATATGCGCTGCTTCCTTCTCCAGCATACACAACTGTTACAGAATCGTGGGGATCTTCATTGTAGCTCTCCAACACCTCTAAATGAGGCGTGCTGGGGTCTCTCAAATACTGGAAAATGGCAGAAACTATAGTTTAGCTACTGATCCACAGAACAAGTATATTAGAAGTGACAGAGCCTGAGCAAGTACTGCTGGCTATAGGCAAGTTGTTTTAGAACAGAATTCAAAATACTAATTAAATGTATATTTATTTTATTCTGGATTTCTTTGAAGGAGATAAGAACTGAATAAGGAGAAGGTTAAAAATGCATCACTTCTCTTTGCAGAGAAATAAATAAGGTAGACAGCCATTTAAATGAGTTAAAAACGTCCCACCATTTCCTACTGTTGATAAACTTATCTTTGGAAAATATATCAGTTCAAAGTCCTACAAAAGAATAAACCACAGAAGAGTTTTTTTCTATTATACTTCTGGGGCCTGCCCTATAGCTGCAGGAATCTGGCAACTGATGGCTTGGGCAAGTGAGAGAGAAGATTCTGCCTTATTCAGCACGAGACAAATCAGAACTGTACCTTTCATTGTCACCAGAAAACTCCAGTGTCATTCTTCTCTTATAGTTACTACTTGCTTTGACATTCCCTTTGCCTCCTTGCCTTCAAAGTTACCAGTGTTACACTGAATATATGACACTTTTAATCACAGAGAGAAAAATTAGAAAAAATAGCAAAAGAAGCCAGAGAAAAGGATTTGTTCTTCTTAACTCTGTGTACTCTCCTGCTTACTAAACAGACCCTGTGTTTCAGGGGGAACATTAGGAATGTTTAAGAATATGGAATACATGCTGAATGAGAACTTTTAAATTAAGAACTGTGCTTGAAGGCTACTTCCTGTTTAAAAAGAGGAAGATCAACAGGATGAGACAACACTGGTTAGTAGACAGTTGTGTCAGCTGGAAGGAGAAAAAGTCCCAGGATTCACTGTCTCTTGCAAGAGGAGGTGGAGGGGGAAGAGAAACAAAATGTGTACACGTACCTCTTCAAAGTGTGATGGGATTCTTAAAGGTGGCTGGGACAAATATTTAATTGCTTTCTGGTGTCTCCATAAACAAAAGAAACCAGCTATTATGAAAATTAAAAGCAGACCGACGGACATAAATATTACTACAATATATCCAGCTTTGGCCACCTCTGAAAAAGAACACATGGTAGATTCACATTTGTATAGCTCATGTAAAGCAACAAGCTGACATTTGCTGTCTGTGTAACAGTCAAACTTCTAAGTTAACGTCACAGCCCTGCCACAGGTGCACTCTAAACACCTGTGCTGAGAAGTAGCTTGGTGGTGATTCCATACAGAAATCACCACCTCTGTCCCCCTGTGCACACAGCCTAATGCGAGACATGTAAGACATGCTAGCAGGGCAAACGGAGCTGGAGGAGTCACTGCTGTTGGGCAGAAGGCAGGCAGGGAATGCAATCTGCCCTTCTTCCACCTTTGGTTTTTATCAGCAAAATGCCATTAATGCCAGGGGCTTTAGAACATGTGATTCCCTTCAGCAAAAGAAGCACTCCAACATCACATCTCGGGGGCTTGTCATCAAGTATTTCAACTTGGAGGTCAGCTCCTGGGGGGCAGCAGAAACTGCAGTGACTGAGGATACGGACAGCTGGAATAGTGTAACACAGACCATCAACTACTGACTAAACCACTACTCATTCATTTGCCATTAATGGCAATTATGAATTGGTAGCCACATATTAACTCCTGACAAATAGAGGTATGTAACCAGTTACACCACCTAATGTCCTACACCCATCCCATCATATAAGAAAAAGAACAAGAACAGGATTATACCGCTGATGGTTGTTCTGTAACACTCCGGGACTGTTTGCAGTCCAAGCAACTGGAAATCTAAATATGCCATCAATTCTACTCGAATTGTAAAACAATAAAGTGTCAATTGCTTCAGATCTTTAATTTTGAATAGTGTATCGCTTGTCTTTATCTCCTGTTGAAAGGAAAAAAAAAGGATATAAGTGTTACTGAAAGAATCAGAACCTGGCTTCAGTGCAGTTCTCCTCCCCTTATTGAAGTTTCTCATTCAAAAAAGGACAGTTTTCTTAACTCAGCCTTCCCTAATGTGTCAAGAGACATCATGAAATACGGTGAAGTAGGAGTGTTGAGATGTATCTGAAATCTCTTTGTTTTAAATGAAATGAACAGCAAGGTCTCTCTTTAACCACACCATGCTGCCGGACGCTTTCACACGGCTGCTGCAAGTTTGGCAGTTGATGCAAGGCAGGAAGGGGGAAGGAAAAGGGAGCCATGAGAAACGTCTCCACCATCAGAGGCTGACAGAAGCACACTGAAGTGCAGTGCTTCTGCTATTTTTGTGCCGAGGGGAAAAACAGCTGATGGGCAGTGCAAAATATCCACACTTCTACCAAGACTGAGCTTTTTAACCTGTGAGGGCTTCAGGGAAGCCTAAATAACCCTCCAAGAGTGACATCTCATTTCACTCTCATTTGATCCACGTCAAAAACACATTTGTGTGAGGGAGGAAGGAAGTGGAGGCGTTTCAGATTTAGCAAGACCTTTAAAACAGAAGGCTTGAAATGATTTTTTTTCTGCTCCTGTTTTTCAGCAATCGGCTTGAAAACGACATTCTTGTGATTCTTCTTCCTTTTTCATTATTTTTACTTATACATTTTTGAAAGGCAGAGGCATGGGCATACTGTGAGGCAGATCAAACCCACTGAGTCTAATTGCAAATGGGGACAGCTCTTCCCAGCTGCACCCAACATGTTTTGAAGAACTCCTGCCTTTCTCTGCCCTGGGAACACAGGCATCAGCAGCCTGTCGCTGACGCTGCCAACACAAACATTCCCCGAAAGGAGGAAGCGTGTCCCAGAACTTCCAAATTGCCTAAGCAAACTTTGGAATCTAAATATTATTTGAAAGCCACCTTTGACACTCTGCAGATTCTCTCCTCGGAGCTACAGTGTGATTTAGCCGTGATATCATATGGAGAAAAAAAAACAACTGTGTGAAAGTTCTGTAGTACATGCATTACTTGTGCCAGAACCAGACTAACTCACATTCAAGTCACCAAATGATGACCTCTGCTCTGAAAAAAGCATTCGTTTTCTTCCTCCACATCTGTTGTTTTGCCAAGAAATGCTGACTCATCTCTTAGTCATAGAAGCATTAGGAACAAAACAAATCAGAATTCTTACTTTTTTAGTAGTAATTGTTGTGTTCTCCCAGTAGGACACATGATACTGGAAAAGGTAACCTGCCTCAGGTCCAAAAGGAGGTGCGACACTAATGAGAAGGGAGTCAGAGCTTACAATCACACTGTTTACTTTAGGAGGCCCTATAGTAGCTGAAAAGAAACAGAGAAAGAGCCGTGAACCTCTGGGATGCTGAACAGCTCATCATATTACATATTACATTATGCAGCCTGGATGTGGCTCTGGGGAGCCTGGTCTGGAGGTTGGCAACCCTGCACATAGCAGGGGAGTTGAAACTAGATGATCACTGTGGTCCTTTTCAACCCAGGCCATTCTATGACTCTACGATTACATTCAGCTTTATTTAGATACTTTTACAGTACTCAGCAAACACTGAATGTCAGCATTTTTTTTTTCCTCCAGAAAAGGAATGCAACATTTTTTCATCTACTTAATGCTTTCCTAACCCACCAAAGGATCCCACTCTTCCCCAGCACAAACAATCCTGCATCACAAGCTATGGATACATCAGTTGTAATCTTCAACTCAGGATTCTGGCAATTCCTTACCCCTGCATTCTTTACTACCAGGGAAAATACACTCTTTCCAGCATGGAGCACCATTACCCATCACAAAGTACAGGAGAAGGCAAACCAAAGACCTAGTAAACCCATTCTTCTGCCTCTCTATTATTTTGAGGGGTTTTCTAAAACCCAACATTTATCTTCTCCAAATCCTGAGACCAATCACAGCGAGGAAATAGGGCAGATCTCATAAAGAACAGTAACATGCTTGTCCACACGTCTAATAGCATTTAAAGTGTGCCCTTCACGTTTCTGCTCCACAGTTGAGGGCATGACAGCTTAGACTTGTTAAAAAGAGATCTGTTCAACAGAAACAGGTAGCTTATACAAAAACTGCCACAAAACAGGGGTGCATGTGATATAGGCTGTAATTCTTACAAGGTTTGACCATCCAAGGAAACTCATCAGTAACACGTTTCTATCTCAATACCCGTTGAAGGAACAGGCTGCTAATACCACTGCTGAGGAACTGATGGATATCAAATTCCTAGTAATACACAGAGACCTTGCAGCATTTGCTAACCAAGCACCTACATATCTCTCGCTCAGCTCTTTCACATAACCATAAAAAAAAAAATCCTAGAATACTTAACAAGTCGCCTTAGAGAGACGTACTGACACCACAAATAACACTTACTGTTTCTCTCTGCCACAAACGAGTCTGTTTCTACCCAGGCTGAAGTCTTTGGCCCCATTTCAGCCCTCACACGCAGAACAATTGTCCAGCGACGTGCCTTTGCTGACTGGAGGAAACTACACTCAGTCTGGGCAATACGGGTGCAGTTTATCTCACTCCAGTGGTTGTAGGCACCTCTGCGACACAAAACAAAGGATGAACAGCTAACAAAGCTCTAAAATACAATCCCTCCTACCCAGAGGGTTTTTGTAAGAAAAGGGCATGTAACAAAACAGCTGCTTTCACAAGCATTTATTCTACAGCCATTTTAGTGTCTGCATCTCTTCAGCACTGGGAAAATAAAAGGGTGAGGGAGAATTCAGAGAGGTGAGAATTACACAAGAAACTGTGCAACGTTTCTGGATGCTCTTTGAGTCTTCAGTCTTTACTCAATGCAGTGGAAACACAAGAAGCTACAAGAATCTATGTCTCTGGAAGATGCTTTTGGATACACATAAAAACATCTGTAATAAGCAGCTCATACTTTCATTTCTACGCTTTTTTATTCTTAGCATATTTTTAAACCAAATTTGTTACCGGATTAAAGCAAAATAAGTTTGGTTGCTTCTCAAACTATTTGCTTACGTTTTAAGCTGGACTGTATAGGACACCGAGCCTCCATCCACTTGAACAGGAGACCACCTCAGGGAATTACGAAAGTTAGAGGAATAAATTGTTACATTCTTTGGTGCTGGCAGATGTGGAGAAGCTTCTAAAATAAGAAGAGAAGTTAAAGCAATTACTACAACATTTAACTACAGTGCTACCTTTCAGAAGGGGCGTAGTGGCAGGATCTTAACGTCCCTCACACACAGGAAGGAAACTGCACCAAAAAAACTTTCATAAAGTCCTAAGTCCCAAATACAAAACAACCAGTTATGCTCCTGAAGTTTTAATTAGGTATTCTACTAGTTTCTTAGCCTCAGCTTTTGTATAGTGCTCTTAAATAAGCACACATCACATTATGCTACACAGGGACCGTTCTGCTTTGCAAACTGAGGTTCTTCACAGTTACAAATGCTAGGCAAGCTATTAATCTCTATTGTGCCATAACGGTTAGTTAGAAACTTCCATTTGAGAAAAAGTTTTCACTTTCTAGTCACTTCTGGCAACCTCAGCACTGGTCTGGCATGTGGCGGGGTATCTCACACCATCAGCAATCTGTGCAGTCTGACACCCCACACAAATTAATCGTACAAAACTGAAGGCTGCCATGACAAAATACAACCAGCTACAGCAGCATTCTTTTCTCCCTCTTAAAAAAAAAAGAGTAATGAAGGATGAGGGAAGCTGGTTCACATTCTCTGCTCTCAGGACCACATGCTCATTATTTTGCCTTATATTAGCATGCGGATGCAGATGATTTCCCCTACCAGCTTCTGAAAACACTGACAGAAGTCTCAGACTTAGGGCTCCATAGCTGAACACCGAACTGCCACGTGCCACAGAGTGCTTACTGCTGGGAAGAGGTCCTGCAGCACAATTTGTATTTCAGTTAGCTACCAGCAATCTTGCTGACATTCCTGGAAGAACAAACTGAACTCTGTAACAGCCATCAGCTTGTACTACCAAAATGTACACTTCAAAACATAGGATCTGCACAGCAAGGGTGCTAGGCACACGTCGTGGGACCCTCAGCACCACACTGTCACCCAGGGAAAGGCGGAATTGCCTTCCTGTCTTTCTGTCCGGCTCGGATGTGGTCTTGCTTGAATAGCTAACAATCCTCAGGCTCTTCCCTCGTCATACAGACGTTTGCTGGCTTGTCAGGTCACAGGTCAGAGCTCTGACATTGCAGAGCATGAAGCCACAAGCTACAGTGCGGGACACCAACCCAGCCTGGCCTAGCCACGGGTTTCAGTGCCACGCCTGTTGGCACACATGTTGAAGATTCATCCTCATCCCTGAGCTCGGGCTCTGCCAGACCGGGTTAGCTCAGCCCAACGGGCCTCCTGGTGCTCAGCCCTCCCGCGCCGCACGGCCAGCGGGCCTTTCAGCTTAAAATAAACGGCAAAGCATTCACACTCTAAATCCGACCCGACGTCAAGAACCCGAATCACGCGCTGAAGCGGAGCGGCAGATGGGGTGTCACCTCATGTGCTCCGAGCTTTCCCAGGAACCGCAGCGCCGGGCGCCTGGGGGTGGGAAGGCAGCGGCCGGCGGCAGCCCCGCCGCGGTGAGGTCACGCCGGGAGGGCCCCGCCGCGCTCGCACCGTCCCTCCCGGCCTGAACCTTCAACCCCGCGCCGCTCGGACCGCCACGCCTCACGCACCTGCGCCCGAAGCCCGGGCCGAGTCGAGAAGGAAGATGCCGAGGAGGAGGAAGAGGAGCAGCGCCCGCCACGGCATGGCCCGGCCGGCAGCGCCCCACCGCCCGGCCCGCCCGCCTCCCTGCCGAGGTCGCGGGACGACTGCCGGTGCCCGAGGAGCGGGACCGGCGGCGGGCGGGCCCGGGGATCCGCCTCACACCTTCAACGCGGCTGCCGCCGCCGAGGGGAAGTGAGGCGCGCTCGGAGGCCGGCTCGAGGGCGGCGGTGGCTGCCGCCCGGCCCCGCTCCTCCTCCTCCGTTAGGCAGAGCCCGCCTATCGGGACGTCCTGTGGTCGCCCGGCACCATTCTCTTCGGGGAGCGGCACGCTGACCCGACCGCAGGCGGTGCGTGCGTGTTTTGCAGGCGCGGCCCTGTGCGGTTGACGTGAGAAAATCTCTCGGGGCGGTGGGAGCCCTCTGCTCGCTTTCTCCGCCTGTGCGCTGCGCTGACACGAGGTTAGGCCTAACCGCAGCCCTTAAACGGTGCTGGCGGCTGCGCAGACTAAATCGGAGTTCTTCAGGAGAGAGGGGCAGTGCAGAACTGTCCCAGCAGGATACCTCTACAAAGTGGCATTTTGGCTGCATGAAGGCTGCCTCAGCAGCCTGGATGGCTGACGATCCACAGCCATCCAGTCTCCAGCAAAAGGCACCAGAATGTGTCCAGAGAAGAGCAGTGAAGCTGTGAGGGGTCTGGAGAACAAATCTGATGGGGAGTAGCTGAGGGAGCTGGAGTTCAGTCTGCAGAAGAGGAGGCTCAGGGCAGACCTCGTAGCCACCTGAAAGAAGGTTGTGGTGAGGTGGGTGTCAACCTCTTCTCCTAAGTAACTGTGATAGGATGAGAGGGAACGGCCTGAAGTTGCACCAGGTGAGGTTCAGGTTGGGTATCAGGAACAACTTCTCAGCAAGAGCAGTGCTGCAGTGGCACAGGCTGCCCAGGGAGGTGGTGCAGTCACCGTCCCTGAGGTGTTCAGGAGCCGTGTGGATGTGGCACTGAGGGACGTGGGCAGTGGGCGGGGGGGGGTGGGCTGGTGGTTGCACTGGGGGATCTTTTCCAAACTTAATGATTCCATGCTTCTATGAAAAGGAAACCAGACAAGAACAGCGCAAACACCTTGTATCTGTAGCACTAGATAAGGCTGAGCAGCTCTTTGTTTACAGCTAACCTTGGATGAATCACTTAATTCTGCTTTAGTTCAGTTCTTCCTCAGTCAAAAGAGAGATTCCTTCCTTTATCTTATCCGTCTGGCCTGCTGGTATCAACAGCGGGTTTTCCAGGCAAAGGTCTTCATCTCTAGGGGTAATAAAATAGGTTGGGATCTCAGCAGATGGCTTTTAGCACTGCCAGGTGTGCTGATAGCTGGGAACAAGTATAAAGAAAGGGAAAAATCAGAGGAAAAAAAGGAAAAAAGCAGATTGGCTGTTTGGTTGGTTACAAAAATAGAACAAGCTAGATAGGGATGGTAGAGATTCAAGTTATTCAGTTGCGGGTTCATACAGTTTTGTTTGCAGTGAACTTACATGACCTGTTTTTCAACCATTCTGGGAAGAGTGACTCATCTCTCAGTAGACTGCTGCAGTTCTACTAAAACCCTTTGCTCCACGAGCTTCACCATAGGATTTCCCCAGTGACACGCCTGTGCTGAAACACAGATCCTTGATTAATGGTTCTGAAGCCAGTGAATGGATTCTGGTCACACAGCATTAGCATGACTCACAGTATTTTCCTGATGGCATGTGGCCAAGTGAGTAGCTGAGAAGGCCATGAACAGTCTGTGACTCTGAAGCATACATAGCAAAATGACTGGGCAAATCATGTCCAGAAGGCACACTGATTTTAGTGGCATCTCTAATTCATGCATTAAAAGAGATTCAGAGATGCACTCAAATATTTTGAAAAGCAATTTCAATACACCAATTAATTCTGAAGCTGAGTTTCCCTCTAACCTTGCATGGAAAGATGTGTATTTACTATAAGTGTTGGAGGAATCCCATAAACAGTAATCATGTCTGTTTTCTCTTTGCCAAACCAGACAGGAAACTTTGAAGGCTTTTAGTTTTGTTCCATCTTTCTCCTTCCTTGAACTTCCTTGTAAGCAAAAGCCCAAGGAAATTACTCCCCTGTGGTTTAAATGACCGTTAGGAAAGGTGTCACAGTAACTGGTTGTAAGTGAAAAGGTTCACCAAACATGTGACTTCTAGCGTTGTTGTGCTGAGGGTGGCTTCTTAAAGCTGGTAGCTTAAGGAGAGTTGAGTGGGGAGGGGAGTGAATTGAGAACAGAGATGGAGAAAAGAGGACTGGAATCAGTGTGAGCCTGATCCTTTCAGTGAGCTTCAAAAGAAAAAAAATACAAATAAGCCAAAGAAAACTGTAGCACTTTTCAGAGATAATTATACATATTGCTTTCTTTTCACCAAGTTAAGGGAGCAAAAAACAAATCTAGTGTCAAATCAGAAAGCAAGGTATACATTCTTTTTTCTTGCTGGTCTTTCTTCAACAAAGCATGAGAAAACGAAGGTAGGAAGTAAAGGTAGAAGAAAATACATTTTAGAGCATCCATCACTCCAGAGCTAAAGGCTCTGAAGAGAAAATCACTGAAAAGACTTGCACGTAGAAAAAAATCACTATGGCACATAAGAGCAATAAACTGATTTAATAAGTGTGTGCATTTCACCTTTGCAAGCAACTTTCTGCCCTGAAATCCCAATCTTGCTGGTTATTACGTGTTACGTGTAGATTAACAATAAAGATAGCAAAGCAACATTAAGGCAATTACTTTGCAGCACAAAAATTATCAGCACAGAATCTTGAAAAAATGAGATCTACGAATGATAAGAAATATTCCCCAAATTTCACTTCTACATTTGAGATACAAAGGGGATCCAAGATGATCAAAGGTAATCGAAGATCCAAGGACACCAAAACCCAAGGAAAAGTAACTGAGCTGTTTGATGTTGTCCTGACATTAACACATACCACGGAATCACAGAATCCCCCCTGCTTTGAAGGGACCTACAAGGATGATTGAGTCCGACTCCTGGTTCCACACAGGACCACTCAAAGATCAGACCACTGCCAACTTTAAAAGAGGAAAAACAGTTTAGAAAAATGCTTGTAATATCTTGATATTGGATATAAATATAAAGATTGTATTGCATCTTTACGTGGTGTTCATCTTCAGACATCCCATACGCATCACCACTCCACCTGAGTGTCCAAAAAGCATGGGGGGAGGTGGTTAGGGCTGATGCTATGGAACTGATGAATATCTGCTTATTCTCCCTCTCTCTCATGGCTTAATGCAACTGGCCAAGTCTTGGTCCCCACGCAGAGGTTCTCTTTCCTGTCAGTTGCTCTTTAGCACCCAAATCTGCCCTGCTTTCCCAGCTGCATGTATGCAGTGATTCTTGTACTCAGAAGGAAATTCTGAGTACAGGTCTTCACCCTACAAGGAGACACGAACACCCATCAGCTACAAGCTGTGCCCAGACCCTGCTCAGACCTCAGGAAGACTTACAAATACCTGAGTCTGCATGTGACTGTGCAAATTTGGTATTCTGGTGACATTAGCTGTGGGACCCTGATATGGACCATGGTGAGATATGCACATGAGAGCAGATTTCAGAGCCAGTGACTCAAAGAGCATGACTTCCCACCAGCTCTCTTCTAGCTTGATGTTCTTTACCACCTCTGAGAAATCAGCTATTCTGGCAGCAGGATAGAGGTGTGCTGGTTTGGGAATCCACCCATCACTGAGAAAGAATTTGCCTTTGACTGGAAGGAGTGGTGGTACGCGGTCAAAAACACCCGAGTCATGAGAAATGAGGTTTTAAAGACCATTAAAAAACATTGCCTTTCTCTAAGCTGCTTTGAAATAATTTTAAAGTAAAAATAGGTCTATGGCGATTACCTCACACCAGGAAAGAGATTTGTTTTGTATCTTAGCCAGTGTTTGAATTTAATTGGAGACTTGGATTTGCATTTTGATTTTATAGCACACGAATGTCTCATTTTTAATTACACACACACAATCCTTATGTGGGCATAAGGTAGAAAGAAGAAGAAGAAGAGATCAGGAGGAAAGAGAAAAACACCTCCTGCCCTTGATCTGGTTTGTATATTCCGAATTAGAGCATTATTCAGTACATTTGCCAGAATTGATCAACTAGAGCAGACTTTCCTACAAGGTAATATATTTAAGCCCATTTAAGGTATGTATTTCAGCTCAGTGTAGTGCTTAAATTAGGAAGAAAAAAAAAAGCCTTTAGTGATTCATTTACAGTAATTCTCTGATGAAATATAAGCTCCTAGAAGCAGAGAGGAAGTATAATTGGTCCTGGCGTCCTTACTTAAAGCAACTTTCGTAACCAGCAAAAACAGGAGTGGTTGTGTAGATAGATAAAAACCCTGTGTGGACAGACTTGTCTACCAGACCATTATTTTTAAGACAGGGCATGTCTTTGTATCTGAAAAGTGACCATTAAGGTAAGAAGATGCTTCATGTGTTGTTGATGCTGAATAGTTGCATTAGCAAAAAGATCACACTGGCAGAGAAACAAAAACCAACTTCCTCAAGTATTGACGTTCAGCTACAGCATTGCTTGGAAGACAGAGGTTTTGGTGTGGGAATTTCCAAGGGTCAGGAGTAGGAGGTTAAAAGAGATGAATTCCGTAAGCCGTTTTTTGAAGAGGGGATCCGGAAGCACATCAACTGATTAGATATGAAGCGTTATTTCTGGTGATGGAAGGCATGCAGCACTGGGAGGTGACCTTAAAAGCATTTGCAGAAAACATGAATATCCCACAACAGATGTAAATAGCTCCATTTTTTTTTTCTTGGAGCCCCCCCCATATTGTGGGCACATCCAGACTATGACCACATTAAAGGGACAGGGAGAGAATCTCTGGTTTCCCTCCTGACCATAAGGGGGGCTCCTCTGGCTCATTGCACAAGGGCAGCCCACTGACCCAACTACCTGGCACAACTCTATTCAAGGTTAATTGAACCAATTCAACCTGATGCCGATTAATTACTAGATCCAACACAAAGGACTGGGGAAGGAGCTGGGAGCTGAAGGCTTAAGCTCTAAAATCAGCTCTTCACAGAATGGCTTGAGTTGGAAGGGACCTCAAGGGTCATGAAGCTCCAACTCCTCCCTGCCACATGCAGGGCCACCAACCTCCATGTT